CAAAATAATGTCTAAGCAAAAGAAGAAATCCTATTACTAATAATAAAAGATTAGATTAGTATTTTTGCTTTAGGAATACTTGGTGAATATGCAGATGCTTTAAGCACTAAACTAGATGACTTTGCAAAAGACCAAACCTAACTGATAACTCATTACTCTGTTCCAAAACAATTTTCAGTGTCAAATCTGTTTTTGCTTTTAGTTATATTAATAGTCACAGTATTATTTTTGTTTTATCTATTTATTAGAAGCATTATGTACATGAGTTCAAACCTCACTAAGAGTTTATAATTTACTTCACATCCCACACTGTCTACTCAATTTCATCTGTATAACCACAATAAAAAGCAACTAAAAATTAAGAAGAAATAGTCAAAATTAATAATAATGGCTTCTTCATCTAATAAAACCAATAAAGTTTATATTTGGTACAATGAATATTATGACATCTCAAAAGAAGTATTTTTTTTATTGGTAAAAGGTTTGTATTTGTAGGTAGCATAAGAGTTACTGGTGCAGAAAGTGGTATCATCTAACCAAGTTCAATTCCCTGCTTAACCTGTTATAGTCACTTTCACACATATACTCTAGGGAAAGGCATGAATCCATCTCTTTTCCACCCACCAGTTGTGGGTTAAGTAGCAGTAGAGCCTAGGCTCTCTAGCCTTGAGTGACAGCCAGTCTAGGAGAAATACTGAATTCAAAACCATAGCAAAGGCAATGGAAAACCACTCTACTATCTTTCCCAAGAAGTCATGGCAATTCACAGATAATAAAGAAAATAAACTTGTAGAGATCCATGACTCTTATCCGGAAGAGGCATGGTATTTAAATAAAAAGGAGAAAAGCTGTTGTTCCTAATCAAAACTGTTCTTCCTTCTTGAAGGATTGTCATTGTAGGGAATGACAATAAATTATTTCTGTGTTTCTTTCCTTTGAAAGTTAAAACAATCAAAACAATTCTTAAGGTTGGTATACTTTTAATATATTTTGTCAGAATTTGGATGATAATTGCTCAAGTGGTTTGTAAGCCTGAGAAAAAAATTAGGATTGCATGTGAATATATACATTTTCTCTCTAGATTTCCCTGCCAAGTTGATATTGGCCCAACACTGAATTATCAGCTATCAATGGCTCTTTAAGCAAAAGAGAAAAAAAATTCTAACTTGTCATTTTACAATTGAAAAGAGTGATTCAGGTTAAACATAGGCTTTGTGAGCAAGTCTCTTCCTCCCCTTACCTTTTGCAGTCTATTTTATTTTCAGATTTTGGTAGACACAATTATATATATATATATATATATATATATATATATATATACCTAAATAAAAGGTATACTTAAATTCACCTTCACAAGCACACACTTCAGTAATAACTAAAAAGAAGTAAAAAAACAACCTCAAACATAATCGTTTTCAGTGACACTTGCCCTTTAAACTAACACCCAAATAAAAACTATTTGAAGCATATCTTACTGTAGATAATACATTTATACAATGAACAAACTTTCTTTCCTGCTTTTCTCTTTCAATATATTTCAATATTTACTTTTGATTACTCTACTAAGCGAAACTAAATCTTTTATGACAATTTATCAAAGCTTCTATTCAACAGGCTTATCTTCTTCATTTTAACTCTTTAGGGCAAAAACAACTAAAATAAAAAAAGCTTATATGGAGCAACATATTGTTTTTGTTTTTATCTTCTTCCTGATTTCATATTATCTTGTTAACAGAGCAGAATCACACATATTCTCTTGCAAGCCATGTTATTTTAAAAATCCAGCACTATTTTGGAATACAGTAGATTCAAACTAATCAAATAAATTTAGCCAGGTGGTCATCCTGCTTAGATAAGGTAACATAGAAACCATTTTAATAAATACATTTTCTAGCTTTAGTATAAATTATGTAGAATTGGGAGTATAAGCAATTTTTTTTTGTTTATTCAAGCAGAAAAAATAAATTTTTACTATCATTACTATATTGCTATTCCTATGGCAGATGTTCAGACAAAATACATTCCTAAGTTCCATCAATTCTGATTTTCACAGTAAGGACCTGCCATGTCATTTTCACTACATTCCCCTTCCTGTTCGTTTGATAAAGAGAAAGTCCCATTCAGACAACTTCTTCTCCAAAATTGTTACTTTGTGGAACAAACTCCCAAGAGAATGCTTCCCAGACAACTAAAAATCCTGGTCTCTTTCAGTCCAGGGTCAACCAGTATCTATTGTACACATCCTCATAATACTCTCTTACTTCCTCTTTTTGAAACAAATCTCATTCAGTAAATTGTTTTCCCTTTGTGACCCTTTGTATTGGATGAAGTAACATTAAAAAAAAAATTAAACAGAAAATAGAATAAATCCAATGAATTTGTAGATCCAAATTCTTAAAACTCTTTTTATTAAAATGTGAACATACTAGACAGTTTCACCCTATGCAGTATTTTCATTCTCATTTGTGGAATTGAGAAAAAGTATTCACAAGAGAACTCAAAGTGAAATATTGCCATGACAAGAAAAGAAAATATGAATCTTATTTTTTGATCTACACTGGCTGCACTTTCTTTATGGATTCACCTGGTATGGTCTTGGGTGGGGGATAAGCAAATGACACTTGGGACAACTTCACTGCTACAGTTTGTCTTCTCTCACAACAGACTAATGAAGCAGATATTTTTTTCAACTAGAAAGAATTCTATCTCCTTCTTACTGTACGTCTTTCTTAACTTGTGGCTACTGTGACTCTACATCTGGACAGACAGCATGTGATTGGCTATCTATAATGCAGCCTGTTTATATAAACCTATGACTGGAATTCCCTACTTTCCAGGCAAGTGGCACTTGATCCTGAAAGTTTTAGTTCTGTTTCTCTACTTACAGACAGTGAGTGATTGCTTTGAGGCTCTCACATCTCAATTTTAATACCAATACTGTGATTAGTCAGAAAACCATGCCAACTTGACTACACTGGTATTCTAACCAACAAAGTAATGTAATTATTGACATTTGAAGCATTTATCAAGCATACAATATCCCTGTTTCTTTAGTGATTACAAATGAACAAAGCCAATGTAATTATCTTGAAAAGATAATAGGTTGCTTTCATATCTCTTTTTGTGTCTATCTCATCATTCTAAAATACTTTTATAATTAATACTTTTACACTTTAAACTTTCATTCTTAATACTTTTATACTTAGGCTTATGGCCACATCCCATTAAAATACTGGTTCCCATAGAAAGACCGAAGTTAAGCAACACCGAGCCTGACTGCGGTGGGTGACCACTTGGGAATACTAGGTGCTGTAATGGACAATGGCTCAGAATTGTTAATCGGAGAGCTGAGTTCCAATTCCAGTTGGGTTCGTTATACTCATTTATGTGCAAATACCCTTGGGAAAAGTATAAAGCCACCTCTTGCCCCCCAGCTATGGGTTAATAAGTAAGACTTGTATCATTAAATCATTATTATTTTTTTTTAAAATCCTAACAAGTTAAAAAAAAATTTTCTGGCTTTAAATAACCTACAGAGGGTTGAGAAGCCATAGGAAATGAATGAATCTATCAATCAATCAATCAATATTTTATACTTAATACTTTTATTATAGTATAATAAATTCAGAATATTAACAAAACTGGTTAAAAAACGCTAACACTCAAAATATTCCCAGGGGTGATAGAAAGATGCAGAGTTTGGTGAAGTAAAAAAAGGGAGCAATGCAGAGGGAGGGGTAAAAAAAGGTGGTGGTAGTGGAATAGTATATAAAATCTATATAACAAAATCAAAGTTAGCAAGAAATATGAATATTTTACAAACAATAAAATTAGCATAACAGTTATAAAGAATGCATGGTTTTTGTTGTCTGGAGTTAAAAGTTCAAACATTTCTTTTGTATCTTGTTGATATTATCTAAACAAGAAGCATCACATGCCAACCACATAAAACAGCTGACATCTGTAAGGGTCAATGTTCTAAGCTTGTAGGTGTAGCGATATAGCCATAGATGTTCATCTGGTGATAACTTCTCTAATGATATCTAAGAAAAGCTGAAATGCATATGTGTGTTTACAATATGGCTGTTTAGAATTTCTATTTTACCTTTTCCCTGAAAGAAGTATTTCTATATGGATGTAGGAAGAAAGTGTCAGGAATGTGACTTGGAAGCCAAAGGGTTGGCAGTTAAAAAAAGTTTGGGAACCATTGATTTAGTTTAATACTTCACTGAAGCAATGAAATTATCAATAACTTTTGGTTAATGTTTAACTTTCCAAAAACAGTGTGTCAAAAGGATGCTTATTCTCTTGATACCAATATTATTGCATACATTCTTGCCTCCCTAGGCAAATAATATACTTTGCATTGTAGTTGGCTTACATATTTTGATAATTTTCAATTTTTTTATGAATTTTTAAATAAAAAGATTTCTTTTCAAATTTATTTCCTTATAAAATGGTAAAAAATAAATTTTTCTAAAAGTTAAACAATAAATATCACATTGTACTTGATTCACATATTTTTATAATCTGGTTAATAAACACTGCTGAGGGAGTCAAAAGTGTATGCAGTAATAGCAGTGTCAAGGGAATAACTGTTCTTTTGATACACTGTTTTTTCAGGCACAAAGGTTAAACATTACCAACTTTTGTAATTTCTCTTTAGAACACAATTTTATAAATTGTTAAGTGTGTTTTTTCATATTTTATTTAAATGCTTTAACTGTTCATTTACTTTAACAGTAGATTAAAAAAGCACTTTACATATATACATGCATTTATGTATAACAAGGTCTGAACTAAACTTATTTTAGCATCTTAACAATAAAAATAAGCAATAATTAATTTAAATGAAACTTCCACTTTATATATTTTTATTTCCAATTTTATTATATTTTTTATTTCCAATTTCAAATACTCAAATATCTGTCCAAAGACCTCTCCACTCAAATAAGCAGCCATCTTGTAGGGATTCATATAAGATTGTGGTTTTTGTTTCACTAAAGCATGAAAGGAAGGTCTGCATTCTTCTCACCATTTCCAACATAGAGTGAACCAAATTTTGTTGTTCCAGGCAAGAGAAAGAAAACATAACCAGGCCAGAGTAAACTTCGGAGAGTTACTTGGCTACAGCCTCGTTCAAATTGAAGACTCCAGCAACCTGAAATGTTACAAATAAATAAAAGACATTTCAGGAATAGCCTCAGATTTATCTGATTTCAGTTAAACTCATTAAATAATACAGTGAAGTTCTCAGACAAATGTGTCCAAGATAAAAATTTAAAAAGTTGAATGTTTTTTTCTCTTAATTTAATATCAAAGCATAAAAGTACAATCACAATATTTACAATTTTGATAACAAAAATGACATAAATGTAAAGAAATATGAGAAGAATCTCTTTTTCTTATTATGAATCTCTGAGTATTTGTCTTAAATGTGTGTGTGTGTGTGTGTGTGTGTTTTGGTTAAAAAAAAATAAAAGATGAAATAATGAATCAATTAATTTTTTAGTATGTACCTAAAAGCTACAGTGTACTTTTTCTGATAAGGAGGACAATGTGTAAATGAAAAACCAACTGACTTGGCTTAAAGTTCATAAGACAATTTTAAGTTGCCAAATGTCACAGGGTTTTATTATATTTTTTGAAATATTATTATTATAAAATGCACATTGTATTTATATTGCTAAAAGGCCCTTAGTGGATCTTACCTGAACTAAAAAAATCTTTTATCACAATGTTGTGTCCTCTTCATCAGGCATATATTGATTCAAAGTAACCTAATAATAAATATCTTGTTAACTGGTGAAGAAAAATATCAAGTTGCAGTTCTACTTTGAACATTACCTTTTGGTATATCATCTTCGATTGTGTCCATGAAGTCAATCGACCTGTCCATATTGGCTCGTTCAATAAGAGACTTTAAGGGCAGATTGGTTGCTACTCCAAAGTGCATATAAGAGTATAGTTTGGCAGAATCTTTTGCTGAGAGACCTAAAAAGAAAACTTTCTAACAATATTAATTTTTCTAATGATATTTACATCATGTCAGAGTTTATTATGCAAGTCAATCATAACAAAGCAGGGAGAATCCCAACAACACAGCAATCAAATGTATCCCTCTGACTTGCTGAACAAGCTCTTCAGATGTAACACTATAGCTAGGTAGAAGGGGGATCACATATATCCTGGCTACAGTCACCAAATGTAACATTATAGGCTGTGTATCTTTCTCTGTTAACCAAAGGCTCAGGCTTTTGCATTTATCAATAAAAAATTATGTGATACATTGTTTGCATAATAAAATGTGACAACCCCAAAATATGTTGTTATTAATATTTTTAATAAGGATATATAAGTTGAAACTCATGCAGTATATTACTTGAATAACTATATGTTTATCCTGGTAAATTAGTCAACACTGTTTATTTAATACCAATTTTATTGTAAAAACATTGACTTGCAAAATAAAATCTGATGCAGTGCACATTTTATTTTCTGCTATTTTAGTGCATGTTAAATTCAAATTAGAGTCTTTACCATACAGATAATTTTTCTAATGTTGTATTAAAGTCTGTTCAGTTATTAATAATAAAACTATATTTACTGTTTTTTGTGAAAATTGAAAGAACTTATACCAAATCTATTCCAGGATAAATTTTGTATAATTTCTCAAATTTCACAAAAATATTGTTTCTTCTTTAATGCAGATACTTTTTTTATTAATATCAAAACATTCTCAAAGTTCTGAAAGTATTTTATTCTTATTTTTATTACTTTGAACATTTCATTCTTATCTTTGATAAATTTGACATATTTTTATATAAATTTCATCAACTTATCTTGATATTTTCTTTATAATTAATTTTTATGAAATTCTTTCTTTTTTTTTACCTGAATAACTACGATTAGGAACCACTTTTCCTGTGGGCGTTCTAATAAAGGCTCCTCTTGGAACAATACGTACTTCATGGTCAATGTCTGCCACAACTGCTGCAAGACGGTCTTCTTCTTTCACAATTTTCTGTCAAAAACCAAGGATTGGTCATTTGTAGTCACCAGAGTTCATTACAAAGCTTGGCATGCAATTTCTAGTAAAATGAATTAAGATATTGAATGTTCTATGGTAGTGAGTTGAGGATCTGATGACTCGTTAGAGAAAATCCAGCAAGTGAACATGAAGTTTTATTTCTAAAAAGGTGTAATTTCAAGCATAAAAATCAATAAATAAAACTTAAACATTTGAGGTAGTTTTATTCATTTATGAGCAAATTTTACTTTACATTTAATTATTTAATGGGACAAGTGTATTATATCATAGCTTTTAACAATTCTTTTGAAATCTGGAGTGAGTTTGCTTATTGAGATCCTCATTACTGCCTGCAAATTTATGTCTGTTAAAGAGTAGCTATATTTATTCTTGTTAATTTTCATGCAAGAAAAACTTTGTTCACAAATGTACGTTGATCCAAATATACAGAACATTTTCCCAGCAAATCTCTTCATACATGGAAATTTATTAGCTGACAATGATTTATAAAACTCAATTAATGTCCCAGTAATATATATTTCTTTCAGTGTGTGATCATCTTGTATGTCTATTAATTGAAGCTGCAGCTCCTTATGTGCTGCATCAACATCAGCAGTGAATGGATAAGGCAACAAATTGAATTCAGACTCAATTTTCTTGAAGTCCTGAAATCTTCTTGTGATTTCACCCTCCAAACTCTGCAAATAACCCCTGATCTTAGCAGAAACACTTTCAGGCACTTTCCTTTTTCCTAATAAAGGGAAATGGCAAAATTTGCCCTCACCTGCTTGCCTTACAAATAAGTGTATGTTTGTGTTGAAATATTTTCCATTTTTCCATATTTCATGTGTAAATAAGCCCTTTCCCTGCAATGTCACATTTCAGTTCATTCAGTTTGTCAAATATGTCTGTTGTAAACATCAGCTTATATCTCTACTCCTCACATTTGGTCACAAAACCACATGGAATCCCTTTCATATCTAGAAATAACAGAATTTCATTCTGTAATGCCCGGACTCTTTTTATCACTTTACCCAGACTCAACCACCTCACACTGTTGTGATAAATCACGCTTTTATATTCTGACTATGTCTTCAAGCAGAGATTTGAACTGGTGGTGGTTGAGTGCTTTTGTTTGTATGTATTCATGACATTCACAAGTAGATTGATCACATGTTTTAAGCCTAGTGTAAGACTTTCCTAGTGTAAAATGCAATGGAAAGTCAATATATCATTGCTCAAGTCTTGTGCTTCTAATTTGTTTTTTAAAAGTTTAATCATAAATCTAAATTTTTTCCAGTAAAAGCTGTGACCCCATCTGTGGTTATGCTTGTCATGGCAAGCCACATTTCTCAACAAAATCCACAGCACATTCAAACAGGTCCTGACCAGTGGTTGTATTTTTCATGGATTCTGGACCAAGTAATTCCTCTGTAATTATGAAATTTGTATCAATTCCATGGATAAATACAAGTAATTGTGCAGTGTCTTCATTATCCATGATCTCATTGAGAGCCAATGAAAACCAAACAAAATTTTTGCTTGCATTGTTCAGCTGTTCTTTGAGTTCTTCACTTATTATGTCAATGTGCCGTACTATTGTCTTTCTTGGTAGTGAAATATTTTCAAATTTCCCTTTAACTTCAGGACACACTACACATGCACAATCCACCTTGAACTGCTTCACAAACTCACCATCTGAAAATGGCTTGTTGTGTTTGGTGAAGTTGTAAGTTACTATGAAACTGGCCTCTGTAGCATTATCATGAAGACCAGCTTGCTTAACGAATATTGATTGTTGTTTCTTAAGCTTCTTAACATACCCTGCAGCTTTTTTCTTATGTTCTTCCTCAGAAAAACTGTTGCAAAATTCTTAAAGTTTAGTTTGGTGATGCTGTTTCAGATTATATTCCTTAAATACAGCAAGTGTTTCATTGCAATTTAGGCATACTGCTTTATGACCTGTGTTGCAAAAGAAGTATTTGTCTATCCCGTTGTCATTAAATACACAGCATTCATCACCAACTCTGTGCTTCTTTGAAGAATTCATGGTTCCACAAGGAAAGAAATTTACTGAATTAACTGTCATAAGGATGAAATTGAAAGAGAAAAGGAAACGGAAAAGTGGGTAAGTTGAGGTAGGTTGACTCATTGTGCATGTATAGTGTGTTGTGAAACACAGGTCCGAATCTACTGCACAAGGAAGGCAAGGCTCAGACTATGGTGGCAGTTTACTTTGACCAGGTTAGCAAATTTTAGATGTGCTTTTTTTTTTCCAAATGTCTCGGTGGGCCACAGAAAACTCTGTGCCAGGCTGCAGTTTGCCCAGGCCTGGCTTAATGCATAGGGTCATAGACCCTAATAAAAAGTGCTTCTCTACCTCTGATTACATAAGTTGTACTTTTCTTATTTCAGAACAGACACTGAAACCATGATTATTTTTTTTTCTTATTTTATTTTTCTTATTTTTAAAATAGCCTGTTTTGTATTTTGCCTTCATTCTGTATTGTTTTGTTCAGTAATATATATATATATATACACACACACACACACCCCACTTCACTATGAAATAAAAATATTTTTTGAATTCACAAATGCTGGGCCTGATGAGACCAAATTCAACATCCTGGGTTAGCAGAGATCATTGGAGGTGGAATTAGTTTTGGGCTTTTTTTAAAAGAACTTTTCAAAAGCTAAAACCATGAATTTTCCCCAATTTATTTGTAAAATATTCCACAACCCTGAAAAGGTTTTATGACAAAATTTCTAAACTTCTCAGGATTAAACCCAATTTTTTTTCAGCTGTTTAACTAATAAAAAATAAATGACCCTAAACTAAAAAAACTACTAAAGAATGATGTATTCTGTTGTAGACTGTTAATAAGAATGGACCAATTGTAGATGTCTGTTTATTAACATGACCACATGATTTATATTTAAGATAAAATATCACAAAATATGAAACACAAGAAGGAACAAAAGGTTTTATAACAAACAACATTTATATTTATTTTTGTGTAAATGATGTACATGCATAGAGTTTACTATTGTGTTTGACTAAATTATGAAATTGAAATATTTTTATCTGAACATACAAAAGTTGAATGAATTATAAAGCTGAAAAATGCTGAATAAACTGTAGCTTTAGAAAAGTATTTCAAAGAGAAAAGTTCTTGTTGCTTGTTTGAAATGTTCTGTATGTTTATAATGTAGTTTGGAAAATTTTGTACGTATGTGCATGCATGAATATGCTTTTAACGTCTGACCGCACGTAGTCAAGACGGAAATCCTTAAGGTTAAATCTTTTTAGAAAAAAGGAACAGGAGAGAGAGAGAGAGAGAAAGAGAGAGCTTGTGTCTGCTATTTATAATTAATGTAACCACATGGCATGATCGCAGAAAATTGGCGGGAAACTTGATTTGGTCACACGCTGGAAAAATGTTTGTACATGGGTGGATTGCAACGCCCACTTGTGTTTTTATTGACTAATTAGAAGTTGATATTTTCTGAAAATCTGTATGAAGCTGAATAAAATTCAACATTGACAAGAAAGTGGTAGCAGGATGCTAAAATTCAAAGAAATAAACTCAAAGATGTCACAACAGATTCCTGTGAAGGTTCAACTGTATAAGACAACTGAAATGATTCCAGACATTCCAGGAATGGCTCAAAACCCAACTGATTTTCCTGTAGTCTTAAAGGAAGTTTGGAAAAATTGATGAACCTAATATTTCTTAATTTAACAAATTAAAGGGGAAATATTATTTTTGTAGTGGAAATTTTATCATGCCAGCAGCTTTTAATTGAAATAATTTCTACTTACAAATTTCTCTTCATCTTTGTCATCTTGATCAGAAATTTTAAACTCATGGCTAGGATCTCCTGTAAATCTGCCTTTGACTTGTTTTGCATTTGCACTGACTTCATTAGAGACTGTTGGCATCAGTACCCAATTGACACAGTCCATACTGAAAGAAAAAAAATGAGATTAATATGGCAGACAAACACCAAATTTATTACTATTTCATTCATTTCTAAGACAAGGCAGTTTAAGATTTTGCATGTATGGCAGAAACTTTGAATTTTGTGACAAGTAAGATTAAAAAAACTGCCCAAATGATATTTAAATATGACGTTTCATATGAGAGGAACAGGATCGAAAAATTATTGAGTGAATTTTTCCAATCAGCAAAATGTTTATCCATTTGGACTATTATCCTCATTTGTGCATGTGCATTTTGAAATCACTACCTTTTTTCTCTGATAAGGAGGATAATTAATCTGAGAGTTCCTGATGTGGATGTCTGCTAACTCATCCACACTCTTCTCTGTTAGAACATGCCAGTGGTAAGACTTTTTCTCAAGATATTTGCCATAAAACAGAGCACAGGAATGTGCATTCATGCCTTTTTCAAGAGCATGTCTGCAAAGTGAAAACAATCTGCCTCAGCTGAAATTGTCTTGACAACTCTATTTTTGTTGTGGCTTTCTTAAGGCCAGAAATAAAGACATAAGAGTGGAAATGAGTTAAATATATTAACAGAAAAACAGTAATACAAACTAGAGTGTTACAGCAAGAATATTCGGTCTGACTATCAGAGCTGACTGCTAGAAAAGGCAGTATCTGCATGGGTAAATTACCATAAGAACCCCGCTCCTAACTATTAACTCTGCAGGAGCCTCAATATGTTTTTCTCTTTGGGTTAATGCTGAATAAGTCCATCATTTTCCTTTTCCTCTTTAAGCTGGTATTGCTCCGGGGCCACTTGAGGTATATCAAAAGTATCATAAATGACATTCATTACTTCTTTTTCTTCAGCAGGACTGCTGTCAGCATTATTTGACAGGCGTTTCCTGATTTGGTTCAAATGTCTCTTGTGAGTAAACTGGGGACCTTTAATTATGTAAATCATATTTCCTACTCTTTTATTACTTGTACCTGTTTCCCAGAAAGATTTATTATCCTGAAACATCCAGAAAAAAAATTTCTCTCCGGGTTGGTAGTGTTTTTTTTGTTTTTTTTGTACAGTGTTTGTTTGTTTGGGGAGTAGCTTGTTGAACACAGACGATTTTACGTGCAAACGACTGGAGGTAATGATGATGGTGTGTTGTCATTGGGCGTAATTCTATACACCTGAAGGAACTGTTGTAGGGCTTTTTCTTTGGGTGTGTCCCTAGATTTCTTTTGGGCTCTTTTCAGCATATCAATGAAGCACTCAGACTGTCCGTTGGATCTTGGGTGATATGAAGTGATCGTGATATGATTGATCTGGAAGGTCTCACAAAAATCCTTAAAATCGCCGGACGTAAAGTGTGTTCCATTGTCGGACACTATATAATCGACTACTCAAAATTTGGCAAACAGTTCATGGAGGAAATTGATTGTAACTTCTGTAGTGGTTTTTCTACACCTAAAAACTTCAGGCGATTTTGAAAAACTATCTACTACAATGAGATAGTAGAATCCGTCTAGTGGGCCTGCAAAATCCATATGTATTCAGGACCATGGTCAATCTGTTTTAGGCCAAGCACTATATTTGATTGGGAGTGCCTTATCTGCCAAGGTACAGCATTTACAGGATTTTACGATGTTTTCAGTAACCTTATCCATGCTCGGCCAGTACATATAACATTCATTTTCATAATCCCTGGGTGGCCTTCATGGAAATCTTTCAGAATTCTTCTTTGTAGCATTGTGGAAATGATGACTCGCTCACTATATAGCAGTACTTCATCGCATAGGGAGAAAATATCTGAAGTCTGTTGGTCCTTTTCATGAATTTTGATTTGGTTTGCCTGATAAACTCATCGTTTAGAGCTTCTCGTTTGATTTGGCTGAGAGTTACAGGGAATTCTCTTACTGTGTTGTATAATGTGGCTTTAATTTCTGCTTCTTTTCACAGTATCTTCAAGAGGTTCCCTGTGTTTCAGGATTAATCTGGATAGTCTATCGGCATGACAGAGTTTTTTTAGACGGTAGGAACTCCATCTTGAAGTTATAGTTTAAGAAGATTATTCCCCATCTCCATAGTCTATTTGCTGTATGCACATGCAGACCTTTTTTAGAACCGAAAATGGTGAGTAATGGCTTATGGTCCGTCTGCAATGTAAAGTGTCTACTGTGAATGTACCCATGAAACTACGTTACTGTGAAAATAATCCCTAATGACTCTTTCTCAATTTGGGAGTAGTTCTTCTCTGCAGGAAGAAGTGTTCTCGATGCGTGAGCAACTAGTTTGTGAGATCCATCTGGTATCTTGTACAAAATGCATGCTCCAATGCCATATGAGCTGGCGTCACTAACAACTATAATGTTCAGGTCTGTGTTATAGTGGGTGAGAAACAAGTCTGACGTCAAGACATCTTTAATTTTGACGAATGCTTCCTGGCATTCAGGTGTCCACTCAGTCTTTGTCTTTTTTCAGAAGTTCGTTTAGAGGAGCACATAAGTTGTGCATATTAGGTATAAACACTTGGTAGTAGTTTGCCAATCCTAAGAAACTTTGTGATGAAGAGATGTTTTCGAGAGCTAGCATGTCCTGGATTGCGGTAGTCCGTTCTGGATCTGGTCTTCTGCCATCTTTGTCGATAATGTGCCCCAAGTATTTAATCTTCTCCATAAAGAAGTCGCATTTTGATTCTTTCAATTTGAACTTGTACTCTTGAATTCTTTAAAAAGACTTTATGAACATGTTCCTTCTGTTGTTCGTCATTTTAGCTGTTTATTAATATGTCGTCCAAATATGCAACCGCGAAGTCAAGACTGCTCAGTATTACTTGTTGGAAGACTGCCGGTGTGACCTTGATCCCGAAATTGTACAAACCACGATGGGTGTTGATACAGAGCAACTTAGAACATTCTTCTTCTACCGGTATTTGAAGATATGCGTCACTGAAGTGGATTTTTGAAAAAAAAAAATCCCCTATTTAGTTTCGCAAAATTTTCTTCTGGGCTTGGTAAAGGGCAGTGATAGTCTTTGAGTACAGCAACAAGCCCCATCAAGAAATCGGCGCAGACCCGGATCTCCTTTGACTTCTTTTTCACATAGACGGTCGATGAAGCACATTGACCGTACTCAATTTTCAACAAGAACCCGGTTCTTTCTAGTCTGTCGAGTTCTTCATTTATTTGTAGTAAAGAGGCGAAAGCACATTTCTTTCTGGCTGGATGGCATCTTTTAACTCGAATTTTGCTGTCATCTTATTACACCGACCAAGGTCCCCAGAAAAAAAACTTCTGGAAAAGTTTCTTTTAAATCTTTTATTAATTTTTCTGTCTCGGTGGTCAGGTTCTCGAGTTTTTGGCAAAAAAAAATTAATTGGCATGTCCCACAACTTAAATTTCTCCACCCAGTCGGTGCCAAATAAATTCTTTAATATATACGTTTTTAGTTTTTAACGTCCTTCCATGAAAAGTTACATTTGTGATAAGTTCTCCCTCAAACTTGATTTTCTCCCCTGTCACGGACATGGCCATTTTATTAGATCTTAGCATGGTTGATTTTCCAAACTTTTTCCAAGTGTGTAGATTTATGATTGTCAAATCTGACCCAGAATCCAACTATAATTTGATATTTTTATTTAGGATTTGTACTTGCACGTATTTCCTAATGTTTGTCCCATCGTTTTTCATCCGATTTTGTGTTTTTTACGCAGTTATTAGGCTTTTTTCGCACTCAGCAGTGTGTGCTCTTGTGTCCGATACGGTTATAAGTTAGGCACCTCTTATTCCGGTAAGAGCAATCCTTATGTAGCGTACGTACCAAATATAGCATCGGGTCGATTCACTAAATGTAGCAGGAACACCAAATATATAGGTACGACTACTATTTATATTAATGATACTTCCACTTACAGGATTCAAGTAATAATAACAGCAACTCCAATTTGTTAACCAACAAATATATACTGAATAAATTACAACAACAAGCATTAAAATTAAATAAAATCGTATTCACAATGTAGATTAAAGAGAAGGAAGTTCTTTCCCTTTGACTGTAGATTGATTGTAATCAACCATTTCAAGAAAGTTCTCTTGTGAGATAAATATTCCGAAATAATTGTTAGAGCAAAGTTTGCATGTGAAGAATGAATAACACGAACAATACAATTGCTTGAAATGTTTTGTGAATAAACTGGTTTGAATCAACAAAGTTCTGGTTGATTGTGGTTGGCAAAAGTTAGAGAGAGAAAATGTAAGTTTGTAGTTACGAAATTCTGTGTCTGTGTGTGCGTTAGAGTGTGACGAGCAAGATCGTGGATTTGTGTTGATGGCTGGGATCTTACTGGATCTTACTGGCCACTTGCGAAAAGTCGCTCTATTTAAGGAAAAGAGGTAGGCTCCCACAGAACCGCAGGGAAACTTGATCTTACATTAAAAATATGTGATTGGTTAAAAATTAACCAATCACTACACACGTACTAAACAGAATAGGTAAGTATGCTCAGAATCAAAAGATTCAAAGGAACGACTGCGAATTTTTTTTTTTTTTTGTACTGGTTTGATTTAGAGGGAGAATTAGATTGTTTTTTCTTTTAGCATAACTTTCTTGTGTGTACTATGCCAGATCCCTCGATGTTTTTCGAATCTTGGTGTACGCTTACGAATCTCTGACAGTCTTCCGCTATTTGTTGGAGAATAAGGTTTGGCTCATTTTCCAATGACGCGAATATAGTGTAATCTTCACTATACTTTCTGGTTAATTTCATACACTTCCATCTCTTATGAAAAAGTGAAGTTTTAGGATTAAAAAGTTCTGTAATAAGTTTAACCGCTTCAGTAACCACTTCAGTTCGCTTGTTTTATGGGGTAAAATATAGTTCACAAATTTGGTGTGCTCCATGGTGCCTAGTTTTCGAAGTAGTAGGCGAACCTTCTTAGAGTCTGCCCAATTTGCGCAATCTGTAGCGTATAAATCCTCATACCTTCTAAAATAAGAAGCGAAAGTTATATCCTCGTCCGGAGAATATACAAAATTGTCTATTGCGCCCCAGATTGTGTTTTGTGAGAAAGCATTTCCACTAATTTGTCCCCTGTTTGTCAGTTCAAGCAAGTTTCTTTGCTCCTGTTGAGTTTGAAGTAGAATTTCTTCAAGTTTTTGTTGTCTGATTTCCGTTTATTTTTGTAATGCGAGAATTTCTTCTTCAATTCACTTTTGAAGTTTTAGTCTTTCCTTTTAAGTTTGCTTTTGAATTTCAAGCCGTTCTTTTTGTAAATCCAACTGAAATTGTTCCATTCTTTTTTGCTGTTCATGTTGTTTTTCTTGCCATTTTAGTTCCCGTTGATTTTGTTGTTCATATTGGAACTTAAGAAAATCAAGCATGGCGGATTTGAACTTGTCCTTGTTTGACTGTGTCTTTTTTAGGATTAAAACAAAATAGAATTTAATTGAGGAGAGAAAAAAAACGAAATAACTTTAATTTCTTACTCACTCAGGTAATCATGAGTGTTTTTTTTTTCTCTGCCAGACATGAATTCTCAGAAGTTCAGTGTAAGTTAGTTACACTTTTTTTTCGTTCAGTTTCCTTTTCTGGATAGCCAAATACTGTTAAGTTGAATCAATATTGAAAATTCCCACATAGTCCTTTTGGGGTCCTCAAAGGTCCTTAAGCGTCCTCGTCTCCAAGTTGTTGTGGCCTTGTTAGGGCCAGAAATAAGGACACAAGAGAGGAATTGAGTTAATTCTGTTTGCCTCGGGGTTCTTGATAGGCTCCAGAGGCGGATATGCAATGTAGTTGGCCCTGCCCTGGCGTCTCGTCTAAAGTCACTTTCTCACAGACGCACCGTCGCCTCCCTCTGTCTGTTCTACAAATACTTTCATGGAAATTGCTCCAAGGAGCTGCATTCACTTGTTCCCAGATGTCATGAGTTCCAGCGCCTTACGAGGCTAGCATCCCGCTCTCACCCCTTCACTGTCGAAACTCCTAAATGTAGCCGTCTCTTCTACTCTAATAGCTTCATGTCTCACACCTCTCGCCTGTGGAACTCCCTTCCCTATTCCTGTTTCCCTGTGAGCTATAATCTCCAGCTATTCAAGTGTAATGTCAATCGACATCTCCAGTTGCCTTGATCTATCCATTACCCTCATCCTTTCTTCTATCACTCCTATCTGATCTTGCTCTAAATTTTCTGTAACCCCTTGCATCCTAGTGGCTTCCCGCCTTGCTTGGGGTGAAATGCTTAAAAAAAAAAAAAAAAAAATGTTAACAGAAAAACAGTACTACTAACGAGAGTGTTACAGCAAGAATATTCGATTCGACTATCAGAGCTGACTTATGGAAACTACATTCCTCTAAAAGGCAGTACCTGCTCTTATTTATAGCTAGGAGAGTCCATGCATGCATGGGTAAATTACCATAACAATTTTCAATGCTGATAATCATCTTATATATCCACATTGATTATAAAATGGTGTCCAAAAGTATTCTAAAGGATTTGTAACTTTGGTTGTTTTTTCAGAATTTAAAAAAGATTACATTAAAAAAGTTTGACTTCTGAATGAAAAATATATGACCAAAAATTGTGTATAATATGCCAGGCAATTGTGGTAGAGATTTTACAAGTTATTTTTTCACCAAATGATATTGGTAAAATGTTCAGGTCATATTTATGATTAAAAGGATTTGGATGTACAGATGGTGTAATGGTTAGTGGCTTGAAATGAGAAATCAGCAAGTGGAGTTCAAATTCTGGTCAAGTTTGTTACATTCACTTTCACACAAATACCATTGGGAAAGGTATGGATCACTCTCCTCTTCCTCCAGATACTGGTTAAATAGCAGGGCAGACTGGGCCATAGTTGGCAACCAGTCTAGGGAAAGGACAACTAGATTCAAAACTCAGTTACTTGAAGCTGTACAAAGACAGTTAGCTATGGGGTGCATATACTATGTCATTAAAACAATAACACAACAGATTTCAATAACTATGGATGATTCCATCAGAGCGTGAATATCCAGAGTATTGTTGACACCAACAAGTATAAAAGAAAAATAAATAAAAAATGTTGCTTATGATCATAGCATCTTTTAACTTTCAGCTAATAATACTTACCCTTGTTAAAAATATTGATAATTACTTTTTCATGTGTGTCAGGTTACATTAAGTACAACATAAACTTTTATTAAATAAATTCAAAAGCTGTAGAAATATGTATTTGATTGACACAATATCCCATATATCTGAATAAATTATTATTCTATTATCATACATGTTATTATGGGCTCCATGGCATTCTATAAACTTCATTTGTCTTCATTCAAAATTACATGCAGTAGGCTTATTTTCTTCCAAGAGATCTTCTCTGCTTGAATATCATTTCCCATTTTCATATGTCTTTTAATGATAGACCCCAAGTTTTCTATTGGATTAATATCTGGAGATGCTGGGAGTCATTCCATTGATTTAGTGTCTTTGAAACCACTTTTGCTTTGATGAACAATAGTCAGCTTTGCAAAGTGTGAATGAGCTTTGTTCTGCATAAAGATACAATTTAGCTTTAAAGCTTCTTGGTTGTGATCGCTTATGGCTATATCACATTGAAACATCGGTTCCTATCAGATCACCAAAGCTAAGCAACATTGAACCTGGTCAATACCTAGATGGGTGACTGCTTAAGAAAATCAGGTGCTGTAAGCTTGGATGTGTGGGTAGTGTAATGGATAATGGCTCAGAATTGGAAATTAGGGTGTTTAACACTGAAATGCTGACAAAGTTTGATTATAATTGCTTTAATCAGTAGTTAGCCACAAACAATTTTTTATTACCTTTTTCTCAACAAATAACAGAAAGAAAAAAAGAATATTGTCTATAAAAAATGTTTTTTTTATGAAGTTCTTGAAATTAAAAAATGATGTTTTCCTCAATTGTTTATAATTTTTAATAAATAAATTGTGTTTAAAACTGTGAGCAAATAGAATTTTTTGTTTTGAACTTTCTTTATTATTATTATTTCTTTATATTCACAAATAAATTGCAAAGATGCAGTGTGGATTCCATATGGAATGTTATTTCTGTTAAAACTCATATAAACTTTTGTTTTATAAACCTTGGGTTGAAATATTTGTGTAGCATCAAATTCCTATAAAATGCAGTTCTAAGTTAAACCTTTATAATCAGCATTTTCAGGAGTGAAAATGGAAAAAATATTCCAGAAACCAATCAAAAACTAAAAAAAAAAATTACTTAAACAGTGTATATGACAAAATTCATGGCTAGAGAACAACAACTTCTGCTGGAAACAGAAAATATAAAATAGATTATCAAAAATTTAGTTATTATTGAAGTATATTCCTTTTTTAATTATAATTCAGTTTTTTTTTGTGTGTCTGCTTCTTTATTTACCATTGTGTAGAACATGTATCTGACTTTCTCATTTATTCAGTTGGTGTGTATTTGATTTATGGGTGTGAAAAAATGATATAAAATATTATCAAAGTTACAAACATGTAAAAGAAATATTAGAATCATGAAGGCAACAAATCTTTCTTACAAAAGAAATCAAGGCAATTACCTTTACTTTTTCATGACCTTTATCAGAGAAGTTAGAGCCTCATTTAACTACTATTGTTTGACAATAACAGTTTATACCAGAAATAAGGCATTATAATTGCTATTTTCATTATATCTGACACTTGTCTATTGAAACCAGGAAAAGGAGTTACAGTGGGTATATTAAACCTGAGACGCAGAAGGTTTCAGAATTATTGTGCAATCTCAGAAAATGTTTACATATATTATAGACTAGCATTGATATTTTATATGAATCTTACAACTTATGGAGAAAAAACTGTAGTAGATAAAAACATGATGTTTAATTGAGATAGGAACATACTGAAATGTAATTTTGAACTGCATTGATAAAATTCTTCCCAGAAGTGGGTGGGGAAATTGGTTGAGATATTATTGATGTAGAAATAGATGAAATTTCAATTCATTGTAAACTTGATTCTGGCAAATGATGAGCAAGAATTTAGATAATCAACTCTACTACCACGATATCTAGTGGGTTAAGGAGTAAAATCAAGGGAGATAATTCATGTCAACATCATCAAAATAATTACTATATCTATTGTTAGTTATGGTAGATGAAATGCAGGTAACTGTATAGTCTGTTTAATCACAAAAAATTGATAAACTATTTTTTATATCTTGTTTTTATTTCTGACATTTAAATTTTTTGAATAAGTGTTCTAGAAATTGCAATTTTCTTGTTGCAAAGGTGGTGGGGTCAGATTATTTTAATTTAAAACTATTAGTAATCTGAGAAAACAATTTTTTTTAAAGTAACCTCAACATATATGTCCCAATGTTCTTTACATTTGAATCCTGGCCAATTTCTTTTGGATTTTATATTATTTTAATATAATTGAAGCACTTTCATTTTTCTTCTTAAAACATTCTGAAAAATAATTTCAGTTAACTTCCAATTTAATTTTTCTTATGTGTGTGACTTGGGCTTCACTAAGTTAACACCTGACATAATCATTTCATATTTGATAGAGGTATTTATTTATGAAAATGTTTGCACATTAAAAGCAAAGATGATCTTATCTGGCTTCTCTTGAGTAGTGCTGGGTTTTTCCATACTCAATTCCTCAAACTTCATTTATTTGAATCACCAATAGCCTGATGAAGTGACTGATTATCCCCCTTGACTGGTAAGTTTAGAAAGTATTCAGATTTTTCAAGTCTTTCCAAGAAAGCCAAGAATTACTTCAAAGTGATTAGATTAAAATAAAAGAAGCAATTGTACTTCATTTAATTTTCAATTCCCCTTGTACTGATTACCCATCCTTATCCATGCACAAACAACTTTTCATTCATTTCTTTCTTTTTTCCAAACACATAAGCTCATTTAATATTATAATATAGCTGAACTCCCACATCAGGTATTGAAGGTCAGTCAACACACAATAGTACCTACTACATTTCAACTTAAAACGTAAACTTTCGATCCTTATATGTTCCCCAAACTTCTCAAATTTCAGAATTTAAACTTTTCTTTATTCCTGATTTTCATATATGAATGCTATACTTCAGTTCTCACTAAGTATCTCCACACTTTAGTAAATGACTAAATATGGAAACTGTATCTTTGTTATCCACAGAATACTAATAAACATGAATGTATTATAATTTATGAATTCTAAAAATGCACACGTTTTCAAGAGCACAGGTTATACGTTTGGGGTGGGAAATTAAAGTGGTTTAATCACTTTGAAATAAATTATTATAAAATTTTCTATTTAGTTATTTTCTATTTTTAAGGAAGGAGTGAAAAATATCTTAATATATATAGAATGGTCCCTTTAGTATTGCTATGGCAAAAAGAAAATCTAAATTCAAAAATAGCTTGAAGACAAATGAGTTTTGTCACGTTACCTTGTCCTCAACATACAGTTTGCTGTGGCTGCAGTAAATATGGTAGCCCAATGATACTAAAATAGGTAGTTAGAATGAATGTACAAATAGACAGACAAAATAAAAAATAAGATTCTTAATATATTATTTGCTATCAATACTGGATCGATAACCTGATTGTATCTCTGATGCAATTACAATTCAGTTTTATGAAATGTATATCATTTTTGGAAATTTTAACAAGATAAACAAAACAATTATCATATATTTTGTTCCTTAAATAAACTTATCTCAATGCAAAATTATTCATTTCTAAAATCATGTAACAGTTTAAGAACTAGAAATGCTTCATGACTTGAAAGAGTTGTATATTTCCCACCAATATAAAAAGTCTAACCAAAATAAAAGCCTGGGTTATAGATGCTGTTTTTTAATTTAGGCAAGTTCTAAGCACTACTTTCAAACTTGGAGAAATATAATTTTCTTTTTGTCATTAGACAAAAACTAAGATTATTAAAATTAATCAAGAAAATGCTTTGTAAAATATTCTTCCCTACGGTCTTTTTTTCTTTTGAAAATAAACTTATTTTTTGTCTTGAAAAAATTTTTAAATACTTTAAAAGTAAGTTATCAACTAAAAATACTAACCTTTTATTTTAACATTTTTGTTGCTTCTGAGGAACATTTTACAATTACTTTTACTTTTACTATAATTATGAATTTAAAAAAATACTTTCAATTTTTTTTAATTTTATTTTTAATTTAATTTTGATTAAAAAATGACAATAATATTGCATCAGAAATAAGGCTAGAAAAATAATCATGCACATAAAATACAAATAAAAAATAAGTATTTCACGACATGACTACAGAGACAATCAAATAAAAAAATACTAATCAGTTTTTAATTGTGTATGTTTACTTTTGAGAAATACTTGAAAAATCAACAAGTTAAATTATATGTAATATCATGAAACAGAAAAATACTTTCCCTTATAAAAAGGGATTTTTTTTCTTTTTGCAAATATAATTTAATTATAATTATAATTATTATTTTATTTTACTATTCTCTCAAAACAAAAAAAAGCAATTAAAAATTCTAGTGAACAACTGTTCTTAAAAAGGATTATTACACGGAAAATTTTCGGTCTCCATCCCCACCAATAAAATAAACATTCATAAAAGAAAAAGATATATAAGGGGAAAAAAAAATTGTTACCAATAAAAGCATTTTTTGTCTGGCCCAAATTCGTCTCTTCCAACGCCCAGAGCAATTAAATACGATGAGCGGGTGCCTTTAATTATTCCCCAGAAATATAGTTTCTCAAATTTATTCTCATACTGCAGGATGACAAGTGAGGATTGTAGAGCTGCCTTTTGTTCAGGACTTAGAAGAATTCCAGAACTACCAAAAAAATTTATATTCGTCATCAATTCTGATGCATCCATATTCAGGAATTGTCTTTATTTTGGTTCAGGTTTCTGAATGAAAAAAATAAACAAAGCGTTACAAGGTTACTATAGAAACTGACATGCGCAGAAGTAACCTCAGAAGTTTAATTAGTTATCTCCCTTACAAAAGTTGTAACACATCTTGAAAGAATATATGTAAAAGAAAAAAAAGCGTACTGAATAAAAAATATTTGTTAGCCGTATATCCGTGGCATTTTGTACGTGTAGAATAATTAATTATAATAAGGTTTATTGAGGAAAGGCCAGAATTTCAGTTGATGATTTGAGAAAAGCAAATGAAAGTTAGAAGTCACACAATGTTTCTCTTCTATTTTAACCTGCAAGACTAAGTTAAAATCAGTAAATAAATATATCCGTTTGAAATTAAGCACATAAACTGACAATATTTTACAAACATTTATCTTGTGTAAATTTGAAGCAGAGTTGTGACAATTTTAAAAATTTCTGCAAAACTCATAGGATTTATAAGCTGTCTGACCCCTATACAAAAATATGAACTTGGTAACTGCCAGACTTTATTTTTGAATTATTAACAATGAGAAAACTTGCTTTCTATTAAGAGAGTTGCATTATGAAAAATAATCAGATGTATTTTAAATATTTTAGGTCAATGCTGGAAAAAGGCAGATTTTACATAAAGCAATTATTTTTATTACAGTAGAATTAGAAAATCTTGTAAATGCACAAATCTTTTTAATGATAGATTATACAAACCAAATTAAAAGGCCTACACTTGTTTAGTTTTAAAATTGTCATTCATTAGCAGCATTACAAGAGGGTTATTATGTCTGACTCAAAACATCCACAAAATTTCTCTACATTGGAAGCCGTCATGATTCATCTAAATCAGAAGAATTACAAGTGTGCATTTCTGTCACTTATTAAAATGCTGCATGAAAAAGTTACAAGATTTCATTTAAAATTTCATATATATAATTATAGGAAAATTCACGGAAGTTTTTATACATAAAATATTCATAAATTTTTTTTAATTTCTAAAGAATCACTTTGATGCATACTATAAGTCATTTCACTTAATAAAAATCTCAAAAAAGGTTTAAAAATTATAAATTGAGTTTACAATGTAAACAATTTAAATTTGCACAACTTTTCACAGAATTAACAGATTGACTTAAAAAGGTAAATTTTAATGCAGTCATTAATCTGTTTTCTAAATGGGATAGATTAGTTTGTGTTCATACATTAAAAAATAAAATAAGAAAGAGAAATACAACCTTACTGGGGCCTGACATAGATTCAGCCTTAACCATGAAGTTCTTTCTTGTATAACAATTGATATTGCTTCTCAAAGATCAATATTACTAAAATATATTAATAGAATTATTTCACTGAAGTTTGCTTTTTAAATGAATAATTTTTTAATGTAATGAAATATTCCTATAAAAAATGCATATTAGAGGACAGATATGAAAAAATGTTTTTTTTTGGAGGGGACATTATTAAAGCAAGCTATGGACAACTTACTTCTAGTGAAAGGACTCAACAAATCAAATAGTAAATAAATTAATTTAATATTTCAACTTAACATTTAATTCCCTGAAAAAATTCCATGATTGAATATTTATTAAATAACAGATTTATACTCAAAGTGAAAAACACAAATTTAGGATCTATCAATTTGCTTGTTAAAAAGTAATTCATAAATTTCTTATTAGAGCAAGAAAGAGAAAATATCCCTGGATTGCTCAAATTGCATAAGGTAAAGTCTAATGTTATTACATAAGCCTTTACCTTATACAATTTGAGTGATCAGACACCAATAGGACTTGTGGAGGTTGATGCAGAATGTTTGTTTTTATATTCAAAATGAATGCTTAGCAAATGTTTTCGAAGTTTTATTTTTCTTTTGTATACAAACTTGTATCCTCCTTGTAAGACAGTTTGTAGCTTAAGTACTTGAAATGGAGCAAGAGCAAGACCATTCCTTTGTAGCAGGCATTTGTCCTGATTAGTTTATTGGTGGTTAGAGGAGTGGGCCAGCTTGTCCTGTCTTCTGGCAAAAGAGTAGAGAGAACTGAACTTGAAGCCCTCTTTTCCTGGGTTTATACTGAGGTCAATAAGTGGTCAGGGATGCAGTGTGTGTGTGTGTGTGTAGGATTTTCTTTTGCTTTTCTGCAGTCTGCTACAGACTCATGATATTTTTGGCAATCATAATAGTAAAATTAGTTGTTTCCATACAGGAAATGTTTGGCATTCATTAACCAAACAGTTACTGTTAGTTGAAATTTTTAAAATATTTTTCTTAAAATAGTTTTTCAGGATATTTGACCTCTCAACTGTTATTGCTCTTTCTAATATTGTTTGGCATTTCTTTCCAATCTTTTTTTTTTTTTTTGGTAGTGTGGAAAGCTAAAAGTTTGCTTTTATCATTATTTTCTCTTCTGTTCATGTTGCTGTTAGAAGTGTTCAAGTGATGTGGTTTTGTTATTTGTGATTTTGCAGCACCAATCTAGAGTATTCTAGAATGATTGTCTTTTAAAGATTTGTGCAATTAATTTCATTTGGAGCCATTTTTAATTATTGATCTAAGAAAAAAGTTGCATACAGAAAATAGTTTAGACACCTCTGAATGAGATGGATACCATGCATGACATCCTTATGAGAGTCCAGATCTGATGAGGCTAAAACTTTCAGGTCAATATATGTAGCATCTTACCATTCTGGACAAAATTAACCCCATGTACAACTTAACCTGTAATCAACTTCCTTATCTCCTATAATGAGTTATAACTGATCCAGACACTGGGATATTTAAAATATTCATAATTTATCAATTTAACATTCTGAACTTTTATAATGGATTCAGGGTCAGTGCCATCACTACTCACATTCCAATTACAGATTATGGTTTCTGTTTTAAAAAAAAAGATTTATCTTCAGTCGTAATTCTTGGAAAATTCGTTTTAAAATATTGATGTTTTGTTTAAGATTATCCAAATTCCAACTATGAACACATTCATTTTTCAGTTTTCTGTTAGTAGATTTGCTTTGGTTATGAGATAATGTGTATTTAAATGTTCTAGACCAATTATCTGACTTTTCAAATCAGCTATGATTTTGTTCATCAATAGACTTTCATTATCAGATTTGTCAGCAATTTGGAAGAAAGTTTCTTATGAATAAGGAAAGAAGTTTTCATTACTGCTGAGACATCAACATGATAGCTATACAATTTTCTGTTTGATAAGTACTTTATTTCATGTAATTGTTTGATGACATATCTTCAATCATTGCACCCCTTACCAGAATGAAAGCCAAACTACATCATTAGAAATTGAATTTTATAGAATAGTCAGAGTCTGGTTAGTAAAATATTCATTACTACTTTCGAAATAATGGATCCATTTTCTGTACATGTGAGGATCTTTAGGACAGTTTTTTTTTTCCAAAGTGTAGTTATATGTGACAGACCACATTGATTTGGGTGTGGGGGTGTTTTTGATTCCAGCCTTCCCTGAAAAAAAAAAATTGAAAGATTTACTTTCAAATAATAGAGTAAGCTACTTTCAAGACTTTAGCCTTGATGTTAAGAGTGGCTTTATTATCTTTCAAGTTTTTTTTTATTGCTTTTTTGCTTTGCTTTTTGAGAGGCTTTCTAATGTTTGAATATTTAGCTTTGTATTCTATTTCCTCTAGCATATTTAGATTGGTGTAGACAGAATTAAAATATGACTGACATTGTTTTTTGAGACCAGGATATTTATTCTATTTTGGCTTAGATTGTACAATGTTATCATGGGTTTTTGATTTTTCTATACATTCCAATACAATACAATATTGTCTTTTGCTCAATTTGGTTTAGTTTCCACTTCCAAAAGGCTTGTTTCTCTGAATATTAACTAGTTTTTTATTTTATTGTATTTTTAGTTTAGCATTGCCATCCCATAGAAAGATCTTTTTTTTTTAAGCTTAGAAATAGTCTCATGTCTTTTAGTGATTACATTATATAATACTTCAATGTTACTTGGGACAAAATTTACAGGTATTGATTTGAATTCTAATTCCTCACAAAACGCTTTCTTTACATCATAATTTTAAAGAGTTTAGATTTTTTTTTTATTTACTTATACATAAGTGAGCTACCTTATTTGCTGGGATTTATTTTGTAACCAAAAGTCTGAAGTTATTTCGTAACCAAAATTCTGAATCAGGAATCTGAAATAACGAATCAACCTTTTTGGTCACTTTATATAGATAATGCCAAAATATACAATGTTTTATATGATAATCAAATCATGTATCCAAAATTGAAAATACTTTGGAATAATTTTTTTCTTAAAAAAAAAAAAAAGAGTTCCCTATTGCTGTTAGATGTCTCAGTTTTAAAGGGTGACATCTTTCTATCAAAGGAACAATGATGTCCAAAACCACTTGACGTGGCATTAAAATCTCCATTATGGCAAACTTTTAATTGGTTTCTACTTCACAAAATTTAGTTAATCTCCTATGAAAGTTCTCTTTTGGATACATTTTCTTCACTTGGAACATGGACGGATATCACCAATTTTACAGTTATGCACAACTGTATCTTTCTGACGTTTGAGGGGGGGAGGGTAACATATGTGATTATTTCCGTATGGCAATTCCAACTCCATGTTGCCTTTTCTCCTTCAGACCAGTATAGAAATCATATCTTAAGTGCAAAATGGAGTCACTGCTAAAAAAATATACCTCTTGCATACAAACAACAAGGTTTGTCTTTTTACATTGCTATAGGAGATTTATTCTGAAGTTGATTGGATGATGCTTAGTCAATAATTAACCTTCTTATCCTACCTGAAAAATCAGTAAAAGATAAAAAGTGGATAATAATTGAAAAAAAAAAAAGAAAAATGGAAGTGATATTTTAATAAAACTGTATTATAAGTGCCATGTCAGAAATCATCAACAAGGAATTAGATTTGAACCAGACTTTACTAATACAATTAAGTGAGACCAAACAATACCTTCACACAAACACAGATGCAACCTGGATAAGTGTCTTTTGCAGTTTGTAGCAAAAACTAGGTCCTTTATCAATACAGAGAGCACACCAGAGCTGATAAAGTAGAAGCTAAAATGCAGAAGAGGATTTTCTTAAAGATAAAGTGGAACTGCCCTTCAGCCTCCTACAAAGAGCATTTCAAAAATCTAAGACTAGCGTAAGCTATAGTAAGAAATAAGAGTAGGTCAAAAGAATCATCTGTAATAGCAGAAAAAGAATGTTTTGAAAAGAACTCTTTTCTGACATTAGGGAAAATTCTTCTTGATAACTTCTTGTTTCCAGCAAACATGTGAAATGTCAACAGAGTTTAGGAAAAATATAGATAAGTAGTGAAACTTTCCAAGTGTAATGAAGTCATAGTACCAGCTTAATGAAAATATGTGCAGAATAATGAATAGCATAAGACTTGAATCTTTCTTACTTAACACTACATTATATTTGTAATGGAGAATAGGGTTAACCCAACAAGAGACCTAGAGTTGGATGCGTATGGTGAAGTAAGCAACAGGTGTTATGTCCTCTTCCACAATTGGCTGTTGAGAGGACATTCATTTACATATGAACAATACTGGGCAGGTGTATTAGTCAATAGTCAGCATGGTTCTGGAACTGAGAGAGTTATGTAACACCAGCTTTTTAATCAGTTCAGCAGAAGTGCTCCCATATGTGGAAAACCAGAAAAGACAAACACAATATTTCACCTCAATACTTTATCAATTATTCTTAAACATTGCATGCATGAGTTGCCCACCAAGCCCCTTGTTCAATATGTGAAACTTACATATCATAGATAAAATTTTATCTTTAAAAAATTTATTGAAAATTAATCTGCAAACTACATTTATTATAAAAATAAAAATGCCTGCTTTCATACATTGGGAAGGAGTTGGAAAGGAAGGAAGAAAATAATAAAACACTGATCTTGTAATTTTTAAATGTGGGCTAAAATTTCAATTTATAAATAAGTTTTTCTTTCAAATTTAAAAAAAAAAATAAAATAAATAAAAAAACATTTTCAATTTAATTGAATATCCTCCCACACTTTAACTCTACATTGGAATGGGGTTAGCAATGAGACAGAAAGCACCAAGTAATGAAGGGAAGCAATATATAGATACATGGAGCTGTTTGATAAGGTGATAAAGGAAAGACAAAAGCAGAAAGGAAGAGTATGTTAAAGAAAGAAACTAAATAGATTTATAGTGAATAGTCAAAAAAAAAAGAAAGCCAAGCAAAAAACAAAAACAAAAAAAAAAATAACTGAATACACTAAGGAAAAAGAAAGGAGAAAGTGATCAGCTCAATTGTTCATACTGAGAGAAAAGAAAGAAGAGAAGCAGTACACAGTTAAGAACAAGGGGAAAAGCGGAACATATCTCAAGTCCACTTGACATTTATAGCATGTTCATTTGTTTTTGACTGGACCAGCTCATTTTAAAAATTTAGTTGTAAACACATTATTGCTGGTTTCTAAATAATAAAGTCTCTGGTTCAAATTATACAATTTTTAAGATAATAAAAACAAAGTCCAAATTCAAAGAAATTATTCTTATTTATTTTACCATTTAATTTATTCAACTTTACTACTATGATTGAGACTCTCTAACATCTTCCCTTATAGAATCCAGACAAACAAGGAAACAACATTGAAAAAGATATCTAAGAGTTAAGCCATTAAGAATTTGAAAGCAGTTCAAATGTTAGATTTGTATGACAAAGTACAAATAAATTATATTGAGAAATTTCATTGACGGGTCTGTGCAACAAGCCAGAATATTTGAGATAATTCTCAGTGAAATTATCTTCAAATTCTTGAAGGAGCCAGATCATATGATTACACCTAGCAACAAAGACTTTCCAATTCTGTGCACAGAATTGTTCTAGAATGTTGGAATTTTGCATTATGTTATGATTGAGGTTCTGAATCTGCAAGTCAGAATTATTTGAGCAAATCAGATTTTTCAGACATTCCATATTTATGTTAAAAGTAAATATATAAACAGCATATTAAGGTCCATTTAAACTTGCATCATGGGATTCATTCATGTTGGACAGACCTTTCTTGAATTTCATACAACTAAAATCTAACAGCATATCAAAGAATAAGATGCTAAACATCTCTTAATTGTACTTTTTCAATTCTCATCTCAATTTTTTTCCCAACAAATCTGGGTGCCAAAATTAATAAAAATGGTGAAAGGTTTCTCTACAACATATCAGAGTTGGGATCAAGAAATCAAAAGCAGCTCAAATGGAACATGATAGACAACCAATGCTAGTTCTTACAATGGGAGACTTCAGCTCACAATCATGAAAGGAAGTATCTCAGACATTTCTGAAGATATTAGAGGTAAAAGTATTTTAGATTTGATTATTTTCACATCACCATCTAAATTTTCCTTAAATATAAATATACTATTTACTAATATACTATTTACTAATATACTATTTACCTTGAACATAAACATACTATATAAAACTACTAAAGTACTATTAATATAATCTTTAGCTTGAACATAAATATGTTATGTGCAGCTTGGACAATTCTGAGTACAGATTCACAATCAGCATTCTCAGTATAGCCTTGTTCAACATAATTTGTCTGAAGGGCAAGAAAAAGTTGTTTTTATTAATGGTCCAGTGTTATCAGTAAGTTAAACTAATCCTAACATCTCAAAGATGATTATACTGTAAATCACTAGTTTTGTGCTGAGGAAGAGAAACTAATATCAATAATTTTTTTTAATTGGTATTTGAAGTAGAGCAGATTGAAGATATTAAATAGCCAATCATTGTCTGAGAGGATTTCAGTCTACTTTGATAAAATATTTTTTTACGATGAAGGGATGCTGAAAAGTTCTTAGCCTGACCCACTTCCCAAAATATGACCAAAAATCATTTTTTTTTTATCTCATCTTGGTCACGCCAATAACTTTTCAACACCCTCTCATGTAAAGTGATTTTTAAACGTTTAATAATATTTTCCCTGAGAGTCTGTAAAAATGTTAATGAAATAAAATGATTACAATGTGTTTCCCCCAAATAAACATCAGTCCTCATTCTCCACTTGAACAAAAAGAAGCTGATCCTAGAAAGATGAAGAATTGTTCAAAGATCTTAAAAATCAACCCTGAAGATCATTCACTGTTTTTCAAAGGTGGATGAATGTTAAAGGAAAATGCTCCAGCTATATTTCCTGCTGGATGGTAAAATGCAACAACAACAATAGCACCATCAAGACTCTTAGATTTTCCAATTCCAACTACTTTACTGTTTCTCCAAATCATCTGCGTGAAGTGACCTGAAAAACAAAAGAACAGATTTTTCAATATTTTTCTTTTCTTTATAAAGAGATGATAAAATACCAAATTTTCCAAAGAAATAGGATATAAAAGGAAAAACAATTTGTATTTATGGTTGCTACTATTTGTAATAAAAATACAAATGTGATAAACAGCTCAAAATGAAGAAGTGAGACCAAACCTTCCAATAACTGACCTACTCTTAACTAGACATAACTCATTAACAAGTAAATCATTTATTCAGGTATACAGAATACTGTGTTAATCAAATTTGTTTCTATTATCTTTTGAATTAATTTATTAATAAAAATTGATGTTACACTTTGCATAATGAAACCTTCTACAAAGGTTATTAATATTTTTTATTGATTAATTCCTTTTTTACGGCTTATCAAGTAAGATATTTGTAGGTTATTTAAAGCCAGAAAATATTTTTAGATTGAAAGAATTTTTTTTGAGATCATGATTTAGTGATACAAATCTTACTAATTAACCCATAGCTGGGGAGAGAAGAAGTAGATTTATATTTTTCCCAAGGTTATTTGCGCATAAGGCATTATAACAAACACAAATGAATGTTGAACTTGACTGTCCAATTAACAATTCAAAGCCATTATTCATTACACCACCTGCACACCCTGGTATTTCTGTGTCCATACAGGAACTGGTGTTTCAATATGATGTGGCTGTAAGCCAATCTATATTTTTAATAAAGAGAGATTATAAATCACTTGATATATTATGAACATGCACACACATCCTGATCATTTTGCCAAAATAGATTGGTTAGTATGAATTTTATTGTGAAAACATTGTAAGATTTTATTATACAAGCCAATGTGGCAAATCAAAAACAGTTTTATCTCAATATTTAGGAAGCTTAGCTTTAATATTGCAAAAAACCAAGTGGAACAAAATAGAGACAGGAACAATGTTCTAAGGGATAGAGGGTATTCCTAGAAAATCAGCATTCAAATTCTTTACTTTTACCTGAGCTTGAACACTGCTGCCAGTGGAAGGTAAGTCTAAGCTGTTTACTAAGTCTAGTACAAGGCCACAAGTATGGTGATGTGAGTGGTCTGTGTAAATTATATATGTTTAGTTATTTAATAAGGCCAAAGTAGCTGCACACTCAATGACAAAATACATTATATTCATAAAAACTTCTACAAGATGAGCTACAGGAAGTGCTTGTCATAAAAAAAACAAAATAAGTTTATGTTTCCATCGAAAAATAAGTAAAATCCTTCCAAGATTTTTAATTTATTTTTTTTAATAACTGACTTTCTTTTACTATTTCAGTCAGTTTTATTGTTAGAATACATTCTTATTTATTGTTATTAAACAGCATAAAGTTTTCCATCCCAAGAGTCTTTAATGGATCTGTGGGTAACAAGGTAACCTGTGACTTTAGAAGTGTTGAGAGCATCTAAAAATTAAATACATCACAAATGTATTTGTAGTTACAAACATTTAAAATATACAAATAAGATTAAGAAATTTGAAGCCATAAAATACTTACCAGTATCCATGCTGTGTTTGGTGCAGGAAAAATCATATTTAGACATTTGACTGTACCAAGCATCGGCCACTTGAGCACCTGTGAACAAAACAATATAAAGATATGAATTTAATTTATGTTATGAACTTCTCTTGTTTCACTCATCTTCAAGTATTAAATCTAAAAGCCAAATCAGAGAACCAATATGTTGATGATAATACAATACAAACAATTTCTAATAGAGTTATCAATGAAGTCAATAAATTTGATTAAAAAATTACTATTGATAAAAGTAAAATTGTTTAACTTACTGCATTTGAAATTAGTAACCAAAGTCATCCAGTTGAGCAAAGAGAGCTTTCCTTTTCTACGAAGGTCAGTTTTCCTAGCAAATTGACTACAAGCTATCCACAATGCATTTAACAAACAATATGGCTTAATAAACACTAAGCTAAATTATTTACAAGTATTAATTAATTTCATTGAATTTTCCTGATATAATTGGAACTAAGACATGAGAAACAAGCATTAACATATGTTGAATTGAAAAAAAAAATGATGAATATGAGGTGGGTGTAGATATAAATGTAGATGTGTTGGTTGGTGGATTGATTTTGACATCTCAACCTTTGTTGAGTTATTTAATGTCAAACATTTAGATATGAGTACCCAGTGTGGATGGAACTTTGTATTCATTAGTAGTAACCAACCAGTCCAAGTTGTTAACCATTACCCCATGCCAAGATATCTGGATGAATATAGGTAAATATTTAATAAATAACAATTTTAATTTTAACAAAATCTTTAAAAAAATATTCAACAAAAATTCAAATGATATTAACTAATAGCACCTGTGAAAATTTTATGGTTTTTTTCCTATTTGAATTTTCTGATGAATCATAATTCTTTGGGATCAAATAAACTCCTTGCAAGTTCTAGGTCTATAAAATAACTGTAAAAATTCCCCTTTCAGATTGCTAAATAGTTGAGCTTAACTTTTAAAAAAATATTGCATTAACAGTTGTAATTATGAATGTAGTTCATTATTTAAAGAATTAAGAGGATACAAATGAAAAGATTAAAAATTAATGAGGTTTTCCATTTCACTGAGACAGATATTAAATATATAAGAGCATTATCACCGCCTCTATTTTTCCTTTTTATGCCTGCTTTTCTTTTCATCACTAAAACCAAACAGCATCTCTGGTATGTGTTTTTCTTCTGACTTTCCTTGCAATCATAATGGAATGGTCCATTATTTATCTAAGGTAATGGTAGGGTGTAATGCACATGCTATCAGAAGAACAAGCAAAATTATATGGTTGTATTTTAGCCTCAAACCCAAACCTTTAAAACAATATCATACAATATTATCATCAAATTAAGTTTTGACTAACAGCATCATGTTAAGAGTCAGAATTAATTTTTTTTCCTTACCAGTCAGATTTCCACTCTCTCTGCACCATTTATATATGAAATTCTCTCCAAGATGTTGACCCTTATAAAGTCTATTGTAGTGCTGTATTTGTCCATCTTTGGTAAGTTTCTCTGACCATTCCTGGGCTAAAGCTGTTAAAGATCTGCAAATTTTTAAAGGAGGACTGCTATGCAGGTATCGATACTTGTTGTGTGATTCCACACACTCTCTCACAAAAGTTTCTAAACTCTGAGGAAACAGTTTGAAATGTTGAACTGCAATGACTGGGCTTAAAGATTTTTCAACCAATTCCTCAAGATTCTTGTGGTCAGGTGGAGAACAATTGGGAACAGCAAACTAAAAGGAAGTTAAAAGATACAACCAATATTTACAGAAATTCCTTTTGGAAACTTAGAACAATATTAATTACTGTTTAGTAATTAATTCATATATTTTAATTATGCAGAAACAATTTAATTTTTCTACATATAATTCATTATTGAAAATAATAGTTATATATGTTTATAAATTTATATAGAGTTAATGAAAAAAATTGGAGAAAAATAAATATTCTTTTTTGCATATTCACCTTTTTTTTTTAAACTGTATAAAAACAAAAAAGGTTTATGTGGCTAAATACAGGCTGTTTATTTCAACAGTGTCAAAAGTTTATAGCATTGGTTTTGTTTGCCCAGTGCAAAGGGGAGTAATTGTTACCAGTAAAGAAATTTGAATTGACAATTTAAGTTCAAGATTTGACTGAAGACCCTGAGAAAAAACATGAAGACATTACTCCCTGCACAGATCCATTGTTATATAAAGGGCAAAATACCACAATAGCTGATGGAAAAGAATTGGTAAGCAAACTCATAATAAATTGTTCTTCCATAATGAATGACCTTACCATCTAGACAGTAGTAGCAGTAAAAAAAAAAAAATGTTACACCCATAGAATAACTTGTCATGTTTAAGAAAAACAAATTCACAAGAAGAACAATTCAAGTGCCTACAGACAAACTCTTCAGAAGTTAAAAAGTCAAGAGAACATAATTTGAAAATATTCAAAACAGATTTAGATTTTTAGTTGTTATGTAAACATACACACAAATACACACACTTTAGAATTTAATTCTTTGTATTTTGAAATTGAAAAGATTTCTTACATTATCAGGAGGTTCAGGTAGAGCAGACTCGATGCTACCCACATTGATCAAATCAATATTTTTTGCTTTTGGCTCGTCGTCATCTTTTACTGAAATATCAAGAAATAAAAAAAAAAGCAGCAAAGGGAGATAATTGTAATTGATACAACTAACAAAAAAATAAAATAGAAATGTGGCAAAATTTTAAATAATATTGTTCATTATATAAAATCTTACTTATTATAAAACGCTGTGTGTGTGTGTGTGTCTGTACGTTTATATATTGGATCGGATTTCCTACATTTTTCAACAGATTTCAACAAAACTTCACAGGACTACGTAAAATTACCTTGCGGTGGTTCTGACAGCACCAAAAATTGGAAAAACACAATTGTTTTTGCACAAAATCAATTTGAAAACACGATTCTGTCGCCAGAATGAAAGGGGGACAACTTATATTGAGTTATACTTATAAAAACCCAGGTTGTTTGTGTGTGTGTTCATTTATATATGGGATCGGATTTCCTACATTTTTCAACCGATTTCAACAAAAATTCACTTTTTTTTTGGCAGGTAGTGTTTCTTATTGTCTTGCACACTTTTTTCTTTATTCAGAAGGCTTTAAAAATTCCATTTACAAGACAATTGTTTATAATAAAATTCTATTCAATCAATAGACTCATAACGATTGAAAACAATGTTTTTGTTTGAGTTTGATCAAGTCGTAAAAAAAAACAAAAAAAATAACTAATTAAGACATGTGTGTCCATCAACCTTAAACAATAATCTTTGTCAATTTTATTTTTCAGTCTTTATGATGGTCGATACTTGATCTATCTCTTACTGTTACATCCCTGGGCAACGCCGAGCTCTACTGCTAGTATATTATAAAAATAGCATTAGTAAATTTTCACTTCATCTACATTAAATTGATTCCATTAAAGAGTTTTTGAAATATCAAAGTTATTCAATAGTGAAATTAATGGTCATTAATACTTATACTTCAATGCTGTGAGAGCATTCATAAAAAAGTATGGAATAAATTCTTGGGAAAAAATTGAAAATTTGCTTTTAATATTCTTTTCCCATTATAAATTTCACTGTGAATAATTAGCACACGTGCTTGTGTGTAAGTAATGTTGGGGGAGACTAATTGGTAACAAAATAAAAATTAAATTTAAAAAAATGTAAAATTTCCTAAAAAGTTTGAACAGATTTAGTGAATTCCTAAAATATCTTTATCTCTTGGAGAGAGAAAAGGAGAGAGAGAAGTAAAAGTGACACAATCTGTCAATTAAACCCATAATATAGCCAAGAATATGTGCATGATTAACAGTAATTACCATGTTTATTTTTTCATACTAACATCTGTTTATTTTGAGCTCCTGTTGAACATAATTTCAACAAACATGAACCTTCAACAAATTTCACTCTCACATATGTCATTTGCTTTGATTAATGCTTACCATCCAAGATCACAAATGATTTCTATAATATTTCACAATTGAGTTAATTTACAAATTGCATTCATTCTATCAGCATTTTTGCATTATTTTTGCTTAGACAGCTTTAAATGTTTTATTTGTTTTAATATCCAACTATCATAACTGACAATGAATATAACAGCAACAATCTCACCCAATAATTATACAGAAATGAGATTTACTATGCAAAAATAGTATTTAGGAATCTTGCTCTTGTTACTTTGAATTTTAAGCTTCTTTAACATTTTTCACTTACACCTTTATTTAAATAAAACTTTTATTTAGGTTCTTCTCAAAAAAAAAAAAAAATTGCTTCTTTTGTGAGGTTTAGATTTTACGAAGAATTTTTTTTCTTTTTTACTGTGAAATTTATTTATATAAATTTAAAATAAAATGCTATTATTAGTCAATGGTCACAAAGTTATTTTAATATTTTTCATTGATATTTTTACTTATTAGAAATATTCATTGATAAAATTTAATTCTTTTATGAATAATTTGTGTTTTTATTTTAAACATTAAACTATTTTAGTTTAGTTTAAAAATCTACCATTAAATGTAAAACAGAAGCAAATGTAATCTTTTTCCATTACATAATGAATGAAGTAACATTTAAGAATGTTTTTACATAAATTTAATGATATATAATTATAATTAAATTATAAATATTTAATTCAGTATTTAACTTTGATATTGTAAAAATGCTGTAATTAAGAATGAAATTAATCCTACTGCTCAGTCATTTTTCCAGGGTCTTCAAGATTTTAATAAAATAAAAAGTATGGTAAAAAAGACTTAATAGACTCAATATTTTTTTTCTGCTTATTTATTATTCAATATTTTTCTCTTAAAAGTATGATTCTTTTTTTTAGCACATTATCTTTTAATTATTGAGAGAACTGTAATGATTTACTTATTAAAATTAAAGAAAACAATTACATTAATAATTAATATTACATAAAGTTGTCTTATTTATTTTAACAGACTTATGTCTTTTCAAAGACTTTTTTCTACACTTGTTTTTAAATTTTATACTTTGAAATTTATTAAAAATAAATTATCATTATATTTTCACAAAGTTACTTTAATACTTCTATAATTTTGTTATTATCCATAAAGCACAAAATGAATTCATAGAATCATTTTTTTTATTAGTTGTTTTTCTTTACGGTAAAATAAACAAACAAATATTAATGCTTAGTTTAAATTTCTAAATTTTCTATTAATGTGTAAAATAGAGCCAAATGTCATTCTTATTACAAAATTAATGAAAAAACCATTTAAGAATTTTTTTTACATAAATTTAATGTCATATAATAAAATTTAATATATTTAATAATTTGATATTCTAAAAACAATGGTGAATGAAATATTAACTATGCTTGCTGCTCAGTCATTTTTTCAGGTTCTTCTAAAATATTTTTACTTATTTACTCAAGTTGAGCACAAAATTAATTTTTGTCACAAGAAGAAGCCTGAGATTAAAGTGCACTGCAGTGGATTGTCCCACCACAAGGCATTGTCTCAAAAATAGCCAAAGCTCTCTCTCCTTTAAATTGAGGGGGGGGGTGCCTGGAGGAGCAACACTGCGGGAAAGAGTCAGACAATAGCTGATCTTATGTTGACAAGTGCTAGAAATTTAGATACTTAACTCAATAATTAATTAAAAGATCATGTAATATTTTGCAAACCTCAAAACCAACAACAACAAAAAAAATCAATTTAAGAAGTGTATTCTCAGGCTTAAGGCAATCCTCTAAAATTTCTGTTTTTAACTTATTGGTATGGGAGGAGGTAAAATTTGAGATTAAGAGTATAATTAATTTGGCTTAAAATGTTACCCCTAAATTGAAGCAGTAAAAGAAATAATTGTGGTAATTATTAATCTGCCATTTCAGATGTTACCTAGTTTCCAGCAATGCCCACAAAGTGTTGTGTCATTGATTGCAAGACAAATTACAGAAACCAGCAAGATAAAACCGTGTGTAAGATGAATAAAATATCAGTTTATTGTTTTCCAAAAGACAAAGATGAGAGAGAGTGATGAAGAAAATCAGTTCCAAATGCCAATCTGAATGTTACAAATAATACATTTATTTGTCAACTACATGGCCTTCAAATTTTGATACCATAGAAGTTCATGGAAAAATGCATCCCAAAAATCCACCATCTGTATGGCTAGGCGTGCCAAAGAGTCAAATACCCTCAAAAAGATATCAAAAAACCCTCCAGTATTGCTTGAAATCAAATTGATGATAAAATGAATGCTTTTTTTAGAATTAGATAAGATTAATTATACAAATTTGAAAGAGTCTAATCAACAACAAAAAAGACTGTGTGTCCATTTATAGCATTTTGGGCTGAAAACATTTTAACTATTCAGTCATCAAAAGTTATCAATGGTATCCCCATCTTTATGTTGAGAATTTATGAAAATTTGGGGTTTGAAACCTTTATTTATGAAGTTAAGTGTTATATTAGCAGCCAGTCAAAAAACGGTATAAATACAGTTGATACTTGGTCAACAGTGGAAGAAATTATCTGATATTTAAATTCTATGACTTTTAATCACAAGAAGGATATCTTGAGTTAGCACTTTTCAGCAATGACTGTCAAAATGGTTGGAATGAAATACATCTCAGATATAGTAATATGTGCTTTTGAGTACTATGCAACATCACAGTCATTGTATAACAGATTAAAACAGGATATTCAATTACCATCATTAGTAACATTAAGAAGGATGACATCAAAAAGTTTCAAAACTAAATGAAAAATATTTTTTTGCTATCTGTATTTAATACTTATTTTTAATAAAAAAAAAAAAAAAAAAGGTGCATAATTCTCCATGGTGAAGAATATATCAAGAAAACGTTACTATATCATGGCAAAACAACTATTTAGTAAGTCAGTTCCCATTCCATATGTACTTGCTCAAACAGTACTTGGTATAATGTTGATATGTCTTAATGTGGATACAAAATATCTTACAAGATTGATTCCAATTTCAAAATTAACATCAGCCTTTTTATTTGAACAAATTGAGTTAACAGTTCAGGCCATCATATCTTCTGCTGATCCAAAATTTTGTATTTTTGGAAATTCACTAAAACTTTCTCATTTATAACCACTTCTTATAACCCCAGTGTCCTGCAAAATAAAAATCCTTTGCTTGGGATGAAATGATTAAAAAAAAATTCAGATTTCCTTATCCTATATAACAAGAGTTTCTTTAAAAAAAAAAACAATGTATAAAAAATAAGAAAAGCATCTCACCAAGTGCCTGGGTGCTCAGAGGTAAGACGTTGAAGAAATAGCAACCTGGAATGTTACCTTGAGGAGAGTAGTTGGCTACAACAATTGACCGTCCATTTTTGGACATTGCTTGGGCTATACCTATTTGTTGGGTTTCTTTCCAAACCATTTGAGTGAAATGACCTGTAATATAAGAAATTCCATAATGTCTGAGAACAGAACTAAGTATTCTTTTGATGACAGAAACATTAACAGAGTGAATTTATTTTGCTAAGTCATGAAAAATGCAAACATAAAGCCTTATCTTTATAATAAAAAAAATAATCATTTATCCATTTTGCATTTAAACTTTAATTTTATTTAAAAGAAAGATGAATGAAATTTATATATCATAGCTGTTCATGGATTACCCACTATCAATTAACAAAGTCATTGTCATATTAAAGAATAAACTTATTTATAAACCTCAAAGTTGTCAATGGCTCTTACCATCAAGTGAAGCAATCTGACTTGAGACAGTGGCTATCAACTGACAGAAAATGAATTAATTGTAAAAATAACAGACAAGCCATTAATGGAAATAATAAAACTTTTTTTCACAATCAGTAAATAAATCAAAGTTGAATGAAAGTTTATAGCAACATCATAAAAGAATTAAAAATATATTCTTTACATGTTACATTTGTTTTACTATTTCTAAGTAAAAATAGTAGTGCATTTTTATATAGCTCTATAAATGTCTATATGTGAATGTGGACAAAATTTGAAAGTTTTGAAAAGATTTAACTTCCCAGACTGCAAACCCCCTTGATTATTATATGAGGGAAAGCAGCTGAGCAAGAGACCAACAAAATTCTTTGTAAAACCAAAGATGAACTGAAGGCAGGGATTATGGCAACATTCACCAACTTAAGGAGACCATCCAGAAGATTTAGAAATCTTGAAGTCATATAGAGGTCATGGTTGAAGCTAATGGCAATTTTATTGAATAAAATTTACTTTAGTATTTCAAGATATTTTTATGTAATTTTGGTAAATATATTTGTTAAATTGAGATGTCAGTGTTATTTTTATTTTTGCATAATTTAGACGACAATTTATTTGTCACATTCTGTGTGTGTGTGTGTGTGTGTGTGTATATATATATATATATATATATATATATATATACATACACACATATACAGAAGCAATTTCTTAGTGGTACAAAATTTAAGTATAGCATGAAGAAGCAGAGACATGTTGGAAATTATGAAAAAGCTGTTCTAAATCCTATAAAGTAGCAAGATTCTAGAGTTGCCCTAGAAAAAAGAAAATTGTTGATAAATTTAAAATATTAAACAATAAAACAAATTGCCAATAAAGTGAGTTAAACATTCTAAAATTAATTCTTGCCTGAGAGAGAGAGAGAGAGAGGCAGACAGACAGGCAGCAGAGTAGCAGTTAATTAACCCCAGATGATGCCAGGAGAGACTTTATACTCAATATTACCAAAGAAGTCAGGTGAATCAGTGAGTTGTTCTGCAAGATAACCTCCTAGCCAGAAATGGAGATCTGTGCTTCACCCAAAGTTAGTGGCAGACCCAATATGTGAACATGTGACTGACCCCAGCCATATTTGGGGCATGCATGGGAAAGAAGTGTATAACAGATAGATATATAAACACCTATCTTATAATGAAGCAAGAATGTAATGTCCATATTCAGAAAGAATCACAGGGCCACACACCCCACTGTTTAATGGTAATTCACAAAGTTGAATAAAATGTTACATATAAGAGATTTAGTCTTTTCTTTAGTAATGTATAACTTAAGTTATACCAGGTAATTTTAAGGAATAAAGAAAATCCTTTTGCTTGTAAAGAGACAGTTGCCTTGAAGAAATGAAAAGAGATTCAAGAATGTTCAAGTGGAAAAATGAGCATACAACACTTAGAATATTAAAACAGTCAGATGATAAGAGTTGATCAAAAAGCTGGTTGCTTAAGAGGATTTACATTTTCAACATATCTTCACTTCTTCATGATATACCTATGAAAGCCTTGACTCAGCCAATATTTTCATCTCATTATTGAAGAAATAAGTACACTTGTATACTCAAGATGCAAAGAAACAGAATTAAAAAGTTACCCTTGATTTTTTTTTCTCAGTCTCTAATGTCATGAATGAATGAGTAGACAGGAGAAATTAAAAATGGAGAAACAGTTCAAATGTTCCATCTCATTTTTTAACTTTTTGCCTTTCATTTTTGTAGGAGGGAAAAGATTACCTACTGGAACAAAATGTGCTTGTATGTGTCTTGTGTGCAAAATACATCAAAGAAAATATGGCCAATCCAAAATTTGCAATTTAAGAACAACTTGATCTCAGAACTCGAAGATATTGCAAGATGAATTTGTGGCTTATGCAAATTTCTGAGCCTCAGCCAATCAATAAAATGAGCATGAGTGAGAGAACAACAAACGGGGGCAGCAGCTATCCATACATTCATAGGAAATATTCAAATATAGAAGACATTAAATGGAAGATGTTTCCTGTTTCTTCTTTAAGTTAAAATCAACCCAATTCAAATTTCCTTCAGTTCAACATTTTCCACAATTTTTTTTGTTTTATTCATCCTTGTCTTAAATAAACAAGCAATAAAGTTGCTTAAACTTAAATACAACAGAGAATAAAGTGAGATCAGGATAAAAAAAAAAACAAAAAAACAATTCGGCTAGTGGGTAAGAAAATGTTATAAAGAAAATATTTTTATTTATAATATGAACGAGCACTAAAAAGTTGTGGCCAAACAGAATGTGCCCATTCAATACTTTTGATAATATTTAATAAAATGTTAGATTTAATTTATAACAACGAATTAAGTAATAATTAAAGAAATATTTTAACCAAATGTTAACAACAGATCTTATTTAATTTATAGTGATTAAAGTAATATATTAAATTAGTTTGAAATATTATTTTTATTAAAAAATATTTTTCAATGAAAATAATTATTTTCTGATATTTCTTCCACTTCCCAAGCAAAAGTTATTTTAATTGAACAAAATAAGATAATCAGCTTAATCATGTTTTTAAATCTTAAAATGTTATCTTACTTTCAGTAGAATTAAAAAAAATGTTCATAATACTTAGTCTTTTAATGTAAAATTTCATTATTCTAGTATTGAAATATAAAAATATATTTAAAATAAATGTTAATATTTCAAGGCTGATATTTTAATTTTTATTCTCTTTTAACAGATAAATTTTATTCTGCATATTCTATATATCCATTTAGTTTTTTTTATTTTATTTCTATGCATATATATTATTCTATCAATACACATCACAGCATAAGTCAGTCTTTGCATTATAATGGAGTGTATTTGTCTATTGTCAAAACTGTCTCAGGTGATAGATTTTTAAGGTAAGATTCCAGGCCTGGATTATTTAATCAAATATATACATATATATGTATAAGCTCAAGATCTTACCAGCATATTCTGATCCATTACCAGTTTTAAAGTCATACAAATCAATCTCACTGTACCATTTGTCACTGACTTCTTTACCTTGAAAAACAAAAGAAACATTTTATATATCTCCAAAGATTATATTTTAAATGATTATTATTTTCAAAGATTGGTTACAAATGTTTTTATTTTATTGTTTTTTTTCTTCAGATGGAAAAATTAAGGATCATAAGAAAGATTAATTCCTATGTTTTATTTATTATCCCCATCATCACTACTTTCATTACAAGTAGACAAGTCAAAGCTAAGAGGATTATTTATAGATGGATTAACACAGCTGGCCAAGAAAAAGGTTATCTGAAGAAATATCTAGGACCAAAAGTAGTCCAACACTTCTATTATGAGCTGTGTAATATATATATATATATATATATATATATATATATATATATATATATATATATATATACACACACATATACACACAAGGTGCAATGGGTAAATTATCTCCATTTTATATTTTTAATTTTATGCATTGTTATTTTTTGATTTTGTTGACAGCACAGTATAGTAAAATCAGTTGGGCACCATCCATGAGAAAAAAAGATCTACATGATGCAATTCACTCCACCAAAAATTTGGAAATGACATGCTGTACTGTTTGGCATTTGCACCAGAAGCTCCAATACAAACATTTCAGAGTGTTTTGGGTGCCAATCTGAGGACAGTGCAGAGGATGCTGTGTCCCCAAAAGATTTACTGAGAGTGATGAAAATCAAATATCCAGTCATCATGGTGTTTTGGAGTGATCACTAGTGATGTTGACGATATGTCTCCATTCATCTTCCCACAGGGCCTTGGACTCAACACGCAGACCTACATCAAGTGTCTTGATGAAGTAGTGCTGTCTTGGGTCAAGAGGGTGCCTACTGGAAGACCCTATGTCTGGCAATAGGACTCTGTTCCATGCCACACAAACAGGAGAACCTAGTCATGGCTGTCAGATAATTTCTGCGACCACATCACTCCTTACATTTGGCCACATAACTCCCCAGACTGTAACCCCCTTGATTATTATTTGTTGAGCAAGAGACCAACAAAATTCCTTGTAACACCAAAGATGAACTGAAGACAAAGATTATGGCAGCATTCACCAACTTAAACAAGAAGACCACCCAGAAAAGTTGCAGGAAATTCCAAAGTTGTCAGGAGGCCATGGTTGAAGCCAATGGCGAGTTTATTTAATAAATTTATTCTTTAGTATTTCAAGATATTTTTATGTAATTTTTAGTAATTATCTGTTTAATTAAAATGAAATGTCAGTGTTATTTTCATTTTTGTGTAATTTAGATTATATATATATATATATATATATATATATAGAGAGAGAGAGAGACAGACAGACAGACAGACAGACAGACAGACATCAATTGCTTATTTGTTCATTTCCACAGGACAACAGAATCAACAGTGAAGAGAAAGAATGGAAAAGAGAGAGCCAAGAAGGAAAGGTAGGAGTTAAGAAAGTTATAAAGAACAAAACGTTGTGGGGATGAAAGGGAAGAGATGGAGTCAAAAGACAGACTGGCTTTAAGTCTTGAGTTTTATTACTCCTTTACCCTTTTGATCTTTTAAAGTGGATGAAGCTTTATGTAAAATTTCTTTCCATTGAGGGCACAACTTAAGTTGTAATGTAGGTAGATACTATACTTATGTTGATATTTTTGGCTCTATGCTCACAGATTTTTATTGTGACTCACATTATGGAGTTTTATACTTGTTTTTTTTTTCAGTTGTTTCAAAAAAATAAAAATAAAAGATTATAAAATATGCATGAAGACTCAAGAAAATAGATGAATATTTACATAATTTTATATATTAAGATTTTATGATTAAAAAAGATTTTTAATTTTTAGGGATGTTTGGATTTTAAAATATTTTGATTAATTAATTTTGTTTTTAACATGGACAATTTTTGTTTCTTTTAACAAGAAAATAGCATTTAAAACAAGAAATATAAAATTATAAGTATTTTACATGGGACAGATATGAGCATAAAAATAGATAAAGAAAATAATAAAGGTATAAATGGAAATTTTTACAAGTACACAAATGTACTGATTACTTAACTTTATGAAGTACTCAATGGACCAGTAGCATGCAGAAGGTTTAGGGTGGGCAGTGTGTGTGTGACAACCCCAGGCATCCAATCAAAGATTGAAATAAAAATTTAGTTTTTGAAATTGTCTGTTAACTTGGTTGTATAATTGCCCTACAGTCCCAAAATCTGGTGTGAATGTGGATCTGTGTTTTGATAAATGAGACTGGAGCAGGACCCCTACTTGAGTTTTAGAGGTATACAATGAAGGAGTGGGCCCCGAGTATCACCAAACCTCTGCACATCACTGCAATGGACATTTGTTTTTCCCCCTCAGACAAAAGCTACTAGGGATGTTATTTTTAATTCAGTTTGCTTTATCTACGTAGAACTTCCACAGGGTATGGTAGATTGTTCAAGTAAACAAATCTATCAATCTTTTATATATATATATATATATATATATATATATATATATATATATATATATATAGAGAGTGAGGATAAGAATCTTTACTTAAAAAGAAAATGTAAACCTTGTCCTTATACAAATTTGAACACCACATGATATCTCTAAAACAGACAACTTCACTATTTTAGTTATCAAGTAAGCTAAAGACTGAGGTACATCTACTATTCTAAATGTTTATTAATAAAAACACATAGAGATAGATAAATAAACATATTTTGATAAAGATATTTGAATATATAAAAAAGTAATTGTTTACCTACCAGCAATTTCTTTAGGATCACCTGAATACATCACTGCAATGTTTAAAAAACTTTCACTCCATCAACAAGTTGTCCACTGTGATGGATGTGGTTTGTATTGGCCAAATACTGAGCCCATATTTTAGCATAATCAGTGAGCACTTGATTGAGAACTAAAGATGGGCAGCCATGTTGCATTCGGTATTCATTATGTCTTTTTAAAGCCTCTTCTTGAAAATTGTTCTTCACCTGCACAAGAACATAGTATGAAACACATGATATATGAATTCATTCATCCAGAAAATCCAGCAAGACATATAAACTAATGAAAAATGATTTCATAGAAAATTTAAAATGGCATATATGAGGACAGAGTAGCTAATATCAGCACAAGAGATGTATTTCACAAGCCAAATTCAAATTCTTGTTTAGCCTGTTGTGTTAAATGCCCTTGAGAAAATTATTAGTTCATCACATTAATTGCTTCCCAGATATGGGTTAAATAGCAGATTAGATGGGACTTTCTAGCACTGAGTAGCTGTCAGTCTAGGAAAAGACCAACTTTCAACTGAAAACCATAAAGAAGACAACAGGAAAAAATTCCACAATGTTTCACAATAAGTCCAGACAATTATCAGACAAAAAAAAAAAAAAATGCAAAAGAATAGCCATGATCGACTGTATCCTGAAGGGACATGGCATTAAGAAAGAAAAGAAGTACTTTAAAATCTATATTAGTAAAAGTTTCCAGCATATTTTTGACAAAAGCTATTTTTTTTAGGAATAATTATTTGCTCATTAAAGTATTTTCTCTGGCTCTTTTATCTTTCAGCTAAATTTTATATTTCATAAGAAAACAAACAATTCTACTTTAATTTACAAAGAATTTTTCATTATCATGAAATTGTTGAAAGTGCTGACTAAAAAGAAGTTTTGCATTGTAGAAAACAAAAGAATATCTGAGAGCTGCAATTAGAAAACCATTCTAGTCTGGTTCCATGAAAGTTTTCATTTGTAACAAAGACTAGCATCATCATGCGCAAAATTAATGCTTGACTTTCCTTGACTAGAAAAAGTTTTTTTTTCTTCCAATATTCCATTTAAAGTTTTTTCTGAAAATTTATATTCATGTGGCATCTTCCTTACAAAATTTCAATAATTCAGTTTTCCAATTCCAAAATCTTCCAAAATGTTCTTTGTCCTTGAGTACATCTCCTTTTTTAAATTTTTCCAACCATTCCTGATAGATGTTTCCACCTAGCATTGTCACACTCCACCCCCAGCAATCCACTTCCAACTGTACCCCCCAGCATTCCATTGCAGAATGTCCACTGCATTTTTTTATCAAAGTGTAAAAAGTAGAGAATGTGCAGTTCATAGTTTACCATCATTTTCAAAAATAATGTGTAATTATCCCTTTTTCCACAAACAATCCTTAACCTTTAATATTCTGCATTATTCACAACTTTCCTTTCCACTGCATTGTTTTTCAAGGCTCCTCTCGACTACACTACTTAATTTCAGTCATGGTCATTTTCTGTTGCCATAGCAGTATATGACAACACAACAGCAAAATTCAAACACTATTACTCATTTATCTGAGTCATTTGCAGTGGCAGGATAAAATTTTTGTTTTGTAAGTAAAATCACCTCCAATATTTTTGCGGTTTTAAGGAATTGCACAAGCATTAAAAAGAAAGAGAGGAGTAATGCAGAATAACTAAATTTCTCGTCTTTTAATGTACAAAAAGGTGCTGCATCTTTATATTATTTGTCCATCCTTACAAAAAAACAAAAAAAAAAACACTATATTTATGTCATGCATTGAACTTTTCACATTACAAAAAATAAAATTGTGGACTTCCCTATTTGTTTCCCTAACAAAACCGAGCAACATGTTTCTCTATTTGATTTATTTCTTACCTCCTCTCCTCACTCTTGCTGAGCTTCACAACACTGCCCTTTTGGTAATTTTGACCACTCTGTGGTAGCTATTGATATCTCAGTTCACTATTAAACAGGACCCCCCACCCTCCACAAGACCTCTTTCCATTACCAGTATGCTGACTGGGACTCACTCTGTGATTTTTTCCACGATGCCCCTTGGACTTCCAACTGAAAATTGCAACACTGAATTTTCTCCTTGAATCAAAGCTGGCATGGACGCTTTCATCCTTTCTCAGAAATACCAGGTGAAACCTCACTCCTCTTCAAAATTCACACCAACATACATGGCCCCTATAGCACACAAAAATCACTATTTTGGGCTATAGAAGTGTGACGGCTTTTATCACAACAGACACCTATTTGTTGCTGCTAACAATAAATATAAGCAAGTCCTCAAAAGAGCAAAGTCCCTGTTTGGCAAGATAATAAGACAACACATAGCCTCTAACAATTACTGGCAGATTTGTAATTAGGCATTGAATAAGTGTAAGGTTTCTATTCCTCCCCTCTTCAATCAATATGAAGTTATCATCCTCTGCTGATAAAGCTGAATGCTTTGCCCGTAAATTCTCCTCAAACTCTACTCTCGACCCATCCAGAATATTCCTGCCTAACTCCAAGAACTGAGTCTGTTGAGTGACATGCATATAACCCCTTCCATGATTTCTGCTATCATCTCTAACATAGATCCTCACAAAGCATGTGGACCTGATGGTATTCCTGTAATAGTCATTAAAAAAGTGTGCTCCTGAACTGTGGCTCCTATCCTTTCTAAACTGTATAATAAATGCCTTGCTGCCCCCTGCTTTCCTGCCAGCTGGAAGTAATCATCTGTTGTTCCAGTTTTTAAGAATGCTGGTGAGCTGTCAACCCTTTCAACTATTGGCTTATTAACCTTCTACCTCTATGGGGAAACTCCTAGAGGCCCTAATCAATGTCGAATTGGTTCATCATCTTTCATCACAGGGCCTTTTCTCAGACAAGCTACATGGCTTTTGTTTCTACATCTGCTGATGTACTGACAAATTATTATAAAGAAAATTATTGTATTGGAAAGAGTTTATCATGTTCTAGATAAAAATGGCAAAGGCTGGACTGTTGCATTGGACATCTCGAAAACCTTTGACAGGGTCTGGCAATCAAGTCTTCTCCACAAGCTGAAAAGTTATGGTGTCTCTGGACACTTTTTTTGAACTGATCCAGTCTTTCCTATCAAATAATTAAATGAGAGTTATCCTGAACAGCCACTTTTCTAGAGCCTTTCATACTAACACAGGAGTCCCCATGGCTCTAACCTTGATCCTACTCTATTTTTAATTTTCATTAATGACCTTCCTGATGACATCAGTTGACAACTTGGTATCTATGCTGACAACAAAATTGGCTCCTGCCTCAATAGTAAAACTTTATCGATAACTGACAAAAATCTGTAGTTAATTGGGGCAAAATATCTTTCTCCATTAATCATCTGAGACCTCTTTTACCTTTCCATCAGCATGGCTGATTGCTAACCAAAAGAAAACTGTTGAAGAAAAAGATGAATCCATTGAAGTGTACATTGAAAGTTGTTTCACTGTGTTGGGTGAGACAATTTTTCTCTCCAGGATGCATCTTACATATCTATAAGTCTACCATTCATCAATGCTTAGAATATTGCTGCCACATATGGTCCAGGGCCCCAGCTATTTACCTTGTGCTCCTTGATAAAATCCAAAGAAAAATCAGCAATATTATTGGTCCTGATCTGGTGGCTCAGCTTCAGTCACTTTCTCATCACTGTAAGGTTGCAACTCTGTACCTTTTCTATAAATATTTTCATGGTAATTATTCGAATGAGCTTTTTGCTGTGGTACCTAGACTTTTTGAATTTAAGTGCAGCACTAGACTGGCATTGAGATCTCATCAATTTACAATTGAGCTGGTTAGATGTAACTGTAAATGCTTCTAACTAAGTTTTTTCTTTTTCTCACTTGTGGAACTCCCTTCCAGCTCCATGCTTTCCAGCCAACTTTAATATTCAAAAATTTAAATGCAATGACAATCGCTATCTACTGTCCACCTGATTGTTCTCTTCCTTTTCTGCTCATCATTAATGTTTCTGTTCCTAATTTTTTCAAACCCTTAACCCCTTTGATGTTTTTTAGTGGCTTTACTGATTCCAATGCCTGATATATAATAATAAAAAAACAAAAAAAGGCATCAATTTAATTTTTGTTAAATTATAGATTAAAATTTGTCTATGTTGAATATGATGTAAAAAATAAAAAAATAAGTATTTCAAAATTTAAAGGAATTTTTTCTGAAGAAATTTCATAAATCTTTTAATTTAATAACAGATCCATTCACATTTATTTGCCATATGTGATATCTCTTACTGATTATAAAATATATATATTTATGATTAGATTTATTAAGCAATCTTTTTATACAGTTTACCAGTTATGATCCAAGGCTATAGAATATTTCTGTCCTTTATTTACCCATACAAAATATCAGAAGAGGATTGATAAATTATATATAAAAAATAGATGAATAAATGAATAAATGGATTCAACTGGAATTCGGAATGATAAAAATTAAATATTAGATATTTTATTTGATGGTTAAGAAAAAAAGGCCTAAAAAATAATAAAAATATCATGAAATGCTCGTTCATATTTTAAAATGATGACATGAATTTTTTTTAAATCTCCCCTAAAATATCAGAGAATAAAAGTTTGAATTTTTAAAAGATAGATGTCATTATGAAAAATAATATTCTGTTTAATTTAAAATTTTAACAAAAACACTGACAATATATTTGACAAAATTTCTGCTAACAAAAATTTAATGAGGAGGTAAGTTTATATTGTATGGCATATTTTAAAAGTTCTAAAAATGATTCCATTTAAATGGAATAAATTTAATATAATAAATATTCAAGATTTCAACCAGTTGATATATAAATTATATATTTATTATTATGTATTTTTATGATAAGATGTTTATTCTTTATTGCATATGGGATATGTTTGTATTTTATTAAAATATAAATATATAACCAATGTCTGATGTAAAATTTTTTTAACCAAAATGGCATTCGACAAAACAGTTGGTAATTTTTAA